GCCTCGGTCTTGGCCTCTCTCGCCTGGTGGACGGATCGCGCAGCGGTCTGTGCAGGAGTGCCCTTTCACGCCCCACAGCCCTCCCTCCACCTAGTTACGGACGCTTCATCTCTAGGCTGGGGCGCTCACCTGGGGGAGCACCATACCCAAGGCCTGTGGTCCGCGTCCCAACTAGCCCTGCACATCAACGTCCGAGAGCTGATGGCGGTGCGCCTGGCTTGTCAGGCTTTCCTCAACTTCCTACAGGGCCGTTGCGTGCTGATTCTCACCGACAACACCACGGCCATGTTTTACATCAACAAGCAAGGCGGAGCTCGCTCATCTCCCCTATGCCAAGAGGCCATTCGCCTGTGGGACTTCTGCATCGCCCACTCGATTCATCTCACGGCGTCATTCCTGCCTGGAGTCCAGAATACGCTGGCGGACCGTCTCAGCAGGTCCTTCCAGACGCACGAGTGGTCGATTCGCCCGGACATCATCTATTCCGTCTTCCAAAGGTGGGGGTTTCCCCAGATCGACCTGTTCGCATCTCGGGCCAACAGGAAGTGCCAGGCATTCTGCTCCCTACACGGGCGAGCCCCGGGCTCTCGGTCAGACGCCTTCCTCATGGCATGGAAAGACCATCTGTTCTACGCCTTTCCTCCATTCCCGCTTGTCCACAGGGTGCTGCTCAAGATCCGCAGGGACCATGCACGGGTAATTCTAGTCGCTCCCGCTTGGCCGAGACAACACTGGTACACCACACTGTTGGAACTGTCAGTACAGAGACCGATCACGCTCCCCTTGAGTCCGGATCTCATCTCTCAGGACCACGGCCGGCTGTATCACCCCGACCTGCAGTCGCTCCACCTCACGGCGTGGATGCTTCATGGTTGAGTCGCTCAGAGCGGCAATGTTCGCAGGCCGTCCAACAGGTCCTGCTGGGAAGTAGAAAGCCCTCTACGCGGACCACTTATTTAGCCAAGTGGAAGAGGTTCTCCTGTTGGTGTGAGCAATGAGCTACGTCTCCCTCGCAGGCTCCTATCCCCTTGATACTGGAGTACCTCCTGTCCCTAAGACAGCAAGGCTTGGCGACATCCTCAATCAAGGTTCACCTCGCCGCTATTTCCGCTTTCCACCCAGGAGAACTCACGTCCTCGGTCTTCTCTAACCCGATGGTCGTTAGATTCCTCAAGGGCTTAGACCGGCTGTACCCACAGCAACGACAACCGGTTCCGACGTGGAACCTCAACCTCGTCCTCTCCAGGCTCACAGGGCCTCCGTTTGAACCATTGGCGACCTGCTCACTCCTGTACTTATCCTGGAAGACAGCCTTCCTCGTAGCCATCACCTCAGCACGACGCGTCTCGGAACTCAGGGCGCTGACATCCGAGCCCCCTTATACGGTGTTCCACAAGGACAAGGTGCAGCTTCGCCCCCATCCTGCCTTTCTTCCGAAGGTGGTATCACCATTCCACGTAAACCAAGATATATTTCTCCCGGTCTTCCATCCGAAACCGCACGCTACTCGTCAAGACCAGCGTTTACATTCTTTGGACGTTCGCAGGGCCCTGGCTTTCTATATTGACCGGACAAAGCCATTTAGGAAAACGACGCAACTCTTGCGGTGGCCGACCGGATGAAAGGATCACCGGTCTCTTCACAGTGCCTGTCCTCTTGGATTACGTCCTGCATTCGTGCTTGCTACGACCTGGCCGGTGTACCAAAGCCACACCTCACTGCTCATTCCACGAGGGCCCAGGCCTCCTCGACTGCCTTCCTGGCTCAAGTACCGATCCAGGACATTTGTAGAGCTGCAGTGTGGTCATCGGTCCACACATTTGCTACTCACTATGCGCTGGTGCAACAATCCAGAGACGATGCTGCTTTCGGGTCAGTGGTTCTGCACACAGCAATGTCTCACTCCGACCCCGCCACCTAGGTGGGGCTTGGGAGTCACCTAACTGGAATGGATATGAGCAAGCACTCGAAGAAGAAAAGACGGTTACTCACCGTTGTAACTGTTGTTCTTCGAGATGTGTTGCTCATATCCATTCCAAACCCGCCCCCCTTCCCCACTGTCGGAGTAGCCGGCAAGAAGGAACTGAGGGGGCGCTGGGTCGGCTGGGGTATATATCCAGCACCATAACGGCGCCACTCTAGGGGGCTCCACAGCCGACCCACCGGGTGTTGCTAGGGTAAAAATCTTCCGACGATCGTGCACGCGGCGCGCACACACCTAACTGGAATGGATATGAGCAACACATCTCGAAGAACAACAGTTACAACGGTGAGTAACCGTCTTTTCAGTGAGGTGAGGGTTCCAACAGGGTGCTGTTAAGAAACAAACCAATGCCATACTGCAGTATTCACTTTACATAGGCATTGTCTATGTAACTTTAGCACCCTCGTGGCCAAGATGGAGTCTGCTCTGCAGGCAGCTCTGGCCAAGAGATGGCGCGCGCAGGAATGCAGCAGGAGAAATCCCTTCCACCCCAGGGGCTCCGGTTCCAAACCCCCCAGAGTGAATACATCCACCCACAGGAAAAGTACAGTGGATATAACAAGGGAAATATTTATTTACAGAGGGATGAGAGGAGAAAAACAACAAGGGGAAATATAGGGGGAGCAGTAAAACAGGGCTGCATCCAAGCCAAGGCCCCACAGGCCCAGTGGTAGCACAGTCTGGAAGGGCAGACACTGAGCAATATGTCTGCACACAGAGTTCAGGAGTCCTGAGCAAAGTTCCAGTCCAGTGGTGAGTCTTGGGTGCTCCTGGTCGTCTTCGGCGCCAGTGAACTTTCCCCAACAAACCGCTCCGGTGCCCTCTTCTGCCACTCTCTGTAAAGCCACACAGAGTGACCACCTCCCCACTTAACTAGCTACAGCCCCCTCCTTGTTCCCAATGCAGTCCCAAGCTCCAGTACTCATAGCCCCATACAGCTCTGGGCAGCAGTGATACTGGGTCCAGCTCCGGCCTGTCCTTCTTGGGCGATTCCTCCCTGGCACAGTGCTCCTCCTGGCTCCTGTCCTCGGGTGTCCCCGATCAGCCCTGTCCATCTCAGGCCTTGAGCAGGTTCTCTCTGCTTCACTTTTCCAGGGCATCCGGCTGCCTCTCCCTCTCCTTGGAGCTCCAGCCTGCCCCCTGAGTTTCCCTCCTTTTTTCTTACTGTCCCCCTCCCCCTTAGGAAAAAGATTTAAAGGGCCATGCTCTCTAAACCCCAAAGGGGTTACACTCCCTCCCCCCCAAAGAAATAATCTTTGATGTCCCCATCAAGGTAGGCAACTCTAAACCATGGATCCCCAGCAGGAGACCCAGTGCCCCCATTCGTCAGGAGCATTCCCATCATCCATCCCACAGGACCCCGAGGGGTGGAACAGGTTTCCCATGAGGCAGCTCGCCCCCCGTGGCACCCCAGGGATCTGTAGGTCACTGGGTTCCCCTAAACGATCATACATCAGCACACACCTGGGCTTCCCTTCCCTAGAGGAACGTCTAGGCTGGCTGTCGGGTATTGGCTGAGGTGTTACCACTGAACTGGAGGCAAGATGATGGGTCCTTGAGGTACAAATTCGAGTACATCTGGGTTTAAAGTGGCTGTTTGGGGTACAGGGTTCTCTGCCTGCACTGAACCTTCCTCATCATGTTCTTGGGGGGTCTCCACAGCTTGGGACAGTGGGGCCTCGGGAGTGCTCAGTGTGGGTTCTTCCCCTTCACCATCTCTTTGTGTGACAACAAGAGGATCCATTAGGGTCGGGGCATTCCAAACTGGATGTTCGCCAGACCCCATTTCATCCTCACTCTCCGAGGAGCTGGGTGTTTGCAAAGGACAGGTATATTTCCGTCGTTGGGACCGTGTCCGACTCACAGGGCCGGGAGTCTCAGAATCTGTGGAAACATCCTCATGGGGAAACAATACTTGTCCTAACAGATGATTCTGGTGGAGAGTTTTGGTGGGGCCGTGACTGCCCTCAGGACGTATGCGATACACTGGTAGATCCCCAAGTTTCTTCTCTATAATGTATGGGTGTGATTCCCAACTATCTGCAATTTTGTGTTTTCCCTGTAGTCCGAGATTTCGGGCCAAAACTCGGTCACCAACCTGAATTTCCTGTTGCCTCACTCGCTGATCATATCGGGTTTTGTTCTTTTGATTCTGGTGACCAGCTGCTTGTGTCGCTATCCGATATGCCACCTTCAGTTGATCGCTTAAGCGAGTCACATACCCCAAGTATGTTTCTGGGAGTGCCCCATCTGAAGACACTCCAAAACAGAGATCAATCGGCAACCGGGCCTCTCGACTGAACATTAACATGTATGGTGTGAACCCAGTTGCATCGTGTCGAGTGCAGTTATACGCATGTACCAAATGCTCCACGTGCTGGCTCCAGTATTTTTTCTGCTGAGGTTCCAGAGTTCCCAGCATGTTCAGTAGTGTGCGGTTGAATCGTTCTGGTAGTGGATCCCCTTGAGGATGATAAGGGGTGGTGCATGATTTTTTGATCCCCATGATCTGACAAAGTTCTTTTATTAACCGACTTTCAAAATCCCATCCCTGATCTGAGTGTAGTCTGGTGGGCAACCCATAGTGGATGAAGAACTTTTCCCACAGGATCTTGGCAACCATGGACGCTTTTTGATCTTTGGTGGGATAAGCCTGGGCATAACGAGTAAAATGGTCCGTGACTACCAAGATATTTGCAGTACCCCGGCGGTCAGGCTCTAATGACAGAAAGTCCATAAAGACAAGCTCCATGGGTGCAGAACTCGTGATGCTGACAAGAGGAGCCGCTTGCTTAGGCAGAGTCTTTCATTGGATACATCTTGTGCAGGTGCGAATATGGTGGGCGATGTCAGGCCCCATCCGGGGCCAATAGAATCTTGCCTTAACTAGGGCCTCCAATCGCTCGACTCCCAGATGCCCCATTCGATCGTGGCAGGCCTCTAACGCCTCGCCGGTACTTCTGTGGTAGCACCAATTGCTTATAGTGAAGAAGCTTTCCGTAAAATCATTCAACAGCTCACGCAAGCACCTGTTTTGGTGTACGCTGATCTCACCCAGCCATATGAACTTCATGTTGATGCAAGCTACACCGGTTTAGGCGCTGTCCTTTATCAAGAGCGTGAGGGCAAACTCCGACCGGTAGCGTTTGCAAGTCGGGGTCTCACACTGCCTGAGAGAAACTACCCTGCTCATCAAGTGGAGTTCCTGGCATTGAAATGGGCCATCACAGAGAGGTTCCATGACTACCTCTATGGGGCCAAGTTCACTGTAAAAACCGATAATAACCCTTTGACATACATCAAGACAACAGCAAAATTATCCGTAGCAGGGCACCGGTGGTTAGCGGCACTCTCTGCCTATGATTTCACTCTGCAGTATCGACTCAGTCGAACAAACATGGATGCAGATGCCTTGTCTCAGCAGCCTCACTCTAAGGATTTATTACCCAATGATCAAATGAATGTGGAGACCCCTGAATTGAGAGCTTTATGCCAACGGGTATCCATTGTGGAGGAAAAATCCACAGCCAATGGAGAATGAGCAATTGACTGTCTGGGTGCACCACCAGAAGCCATACCCATAGTCTACTCAAGTTTTACTAGAGTACAGGACCCTCAGCTGCCCAAAATAAAGGATCGAGAGGTGGAGCATGCCCAGCGAGCTGATCCACGGATGAAGGACATCCTTTATGCATTGGAAAGGGGAAAGGATCCCAGGGCTATTCGACCAAGTCATCCAGTGGAGGCCCTTTTGCTGAAAGAATGGGATCGCCTATTTGGATATGGTGCTCCACATCATGTGCACACCCAACATCCCATTCGTGCATAGAGAAAACAGCCTTCCTCTTGACTAACTTCTCACACAGGCGGTCCTTCCACTCAGCGGGAATGGGGGAATCCCCAAACTGGAAACTATCCCTCCCAAAAGGTCTAGCCTTGGTCTTCTCTTGGGATGGGGGCCCCCTTGTTCGCTGGTATGCGGCTTTACATAAAGCGTGCATTGGCAGCTCCTGCAGATAGTTGTTCCCTGCCATTTCACGGCATTTCCACGCCAATCTCTGGAACAGGTTTGCATTTGTCTCTAGGATTAAAGGTGCATACTTTCTTCCCTTTGGATCTGGGCAGACCAGTGCCAATGTTTCTATTTCCCGGTTTACCCCTGCAACATTCTTTGGAAACTGAACATTTAACAGGATATATCCCAGATAGGGGCAGGAGTCACAGCCAATTCCCCAGACTGTCAGGCCAGACAGGGGATGCAAGGGTAAATGCTGCAGGTGTTCTCGGTAGTAAGATTCATAGAGTATGGTGACTTGTGATCCGCTGTCCAGCAATGCCTCACACGATCGTCCTTCTATACAAATGGGTACTATAGCCTGGGGGCCTATCAGCCCATCTGGGTAACCCCTGTTTGTGGTTTTTTCTGGGAAGCCTTGGAATTTCAGGGTCTTGGGTTGCTCCTTCTCCAAGCCCTGTTGGTGTTTCCTTGAAGCTTCCTAATGGTCTGCTGCAATCTCTGAGATACCCTTGCATGATCTGTCTTGTTTTGGCAGTCCAAGGCATAGTGACCATCTCTTCCACAGTTATAACAGAAACCTTCTCGCTGGCTATCACCCCTCCTGCTACTCTCCCCTCTTGAGGATGGCACAGTATGTCCCTGAGCCTTCATCATGGCCACTTCTCGGGTCAAATCTCTCAGTGCTGCCGCCACTGATGGGGCATCTTCCATCTCTCCAAGCACTGTGGTGGTGCGACTTCCTGCCATCTTCGGCTGCACCACTGCATCCACTTGCAACAATCGCTCCTCCTCTTCACGTATCTCTCGAATGAGTTTGTGGAATGGGGGTGGGTTTTGGGCCCGCTCCCTCAGCTGCAGTCGCCACAACATCAACCCATCTTGTTGGGTGCCCCGAAGGATTTGGTCCAGCCTAGCGGAATCAATGCACTTGGTGGGGATGCCCTCCTTCCACACTACCTGCTGTAGCAAATCCTCTAGTCTCCTGATGAAATCCGACAATCGTTCGTGAGGCTCTTGATAGGTATGGCGGAAACGATAATACAGGTCTTCATTGCTATCAGTAGTACCGTAGACACTTTCAAGAGCGGTTAAATAGTCTTGCACTGTGGCAGCTGGTTGTAAGTCTTTCAGGGCTTGGATAATTCGCATGGCAGGTCCCCTCGGACTCTCAAGCACACGTTTCCACTTCTCAGCATCAGAGCATTCCCACTCTTGGACAAGTGGCACCGTAAAATCCCTCCAGGTCTCGTATCCTTCTCCCCTGGGGGTACAGGTGACACCCCCGAGAATGAACGTAACCGCTTGTATGGAGCACTTTCATATACCGGCCTCAATGCATCTTTGAGAGCATTTCCCAGCTCTTTGGCCCATCCCACCAGGCTGGGTGCTGCAGGTGTTGGAGCCCCTCCTAATGCCAAAATAAATTCTTCTCTTGTCCGCTTCTCATCCACCATCAGAGCTTGCAATTTCTGCGCTAAAGAATACACCTCAAGTGACACAGGCACACTAGGAGGGGACTGCTCTGCCCCCAGAATTGTCCAGGGAATACCTTCTACTTGCACCTCTTTGGGCACTTTATCAAGATCTGTTTCCTTGGAGTGAGTGCATAGTGCTACCATGCCCTTCACTTTGCGGTTGTAAATACGGGTGTGGACCTTTACTCTCTCCAGTATTTCAGCTGCATCTAAGCTCTCCTCAATTTCATTTGGTTCCATCTCTTCTGGGAACCCTGCCACCAGCACAGCTTTGGTTACTGGGATTCGTGCCCCTCGGCACAGGTCTTCTAATAATCCTCTCTCCATTTTTTTTTTTTTTAAGTGAGATGAAAGTCACTCAGGAGTTTCTTTGCTCTGTGAAGAAGAGGCCAGGGTGCACAACGTAGGGGTGTGTGTGTGTGTGTACTGCAAAGTCCCCGTACGGGCCACCAAGTGTAACTTTAGCGCCCTCATGGCCAAAATGGAGTCTGCTCTGCAGGCAGCTCTGGCCAAGAGATGGCGCGCGCAGGAATGCAGCAGGAGAAATCCCTTCCACCCCAGGGGCACCTGTTCCAAACCCCCCAGAGTGAACACACCCACCCACAGGAAAAGTACAGTGGATATAACAAGGGAAATATTTATTTACAGAGGGATGAGAGGAGAAAAACAACAAGGGGAAATATAGGGGGAGCAGTAGAACAGGGCTGCATCCAAGCCAAGGCCCCACAGGCCCAATGGTAGCACGGTCTGGAAGGGCAGACACTGAGCAATGTGTCTGCCTGCAGAGTTCAGGAGTCCTGAGCAAAGTTCCAGTCCAGGGGTGAGTCTTGGGTGCTCCTGGTCGTCTTCGGCGCCAGTGAACTTTCCTCAACAAACCCCTCCGGTGCCCTCTTCTGCCACTCTCTGCAAAGCCACACAGAGCAACCACCTCCCCACTTAACTAACCAGCAGCCTCCCTCCTTATTCCCAGTGCAGAGTCACAAGCCCCAGTACTCACAGCTCTGGGCAGCCATGATACTGAGTCCAGCTCCGGCCTGTCCTTCTCGGGCATTTCCTCCCTGGCACAGTGCTCTTCCTGGCTCCTGTCCTGGGGTGTCCCCGATCGGCCCTGTCCGTCTCAGGCCTCGGGCAGGTTCTCCCTCTCCTTGGAGCTCCAGCACTGCCCCCTGGAGTTTCCCTCCTTTTTTCTTACTCTCCCCCTCCCTCTTAGGAAAAAGATTTAAAGGGCCATCCTCTCTAAACCCCAAAGGGGTTACATCTGTGTTTCAGCTTTATACTTCAGCAATGCATTTATAGCATCTTGGTCAATATTAACATATGAATGGTGCTTATTGCAAGTGAGGACTTGGTGGCGCAGCTGGTTAAAATTAAGTTTTAAAGAATCGTCTATTAAATTATTTATGCACATAAATTATTGGTCTGATCTTTCAGAGGTTCTGAGCACCAGGCAGCTCCCAGTGAAGGAAGTGGGCGATGTTGCCTGCTCATCACTTGTAGAAAATCAAGCTTCCGATTTAGCTATCTAGCTAGGAATTGGGAGCCTAACTTTTAGGCACCCCGTTTGCAAAAGTTAATGGGGCTCTGACATCTGTCTACATAGAATAACTTATAGAAATAGACAAGACACACACAGGGTGGGGGAGAGAAGATATTGTGATCCCCTAGGCTTTAGAGCCCAAGCTCCAGCCTGAGCCACAGCGGCTACACAGCTATTGTTGTGCAAGCCCCACAAGACCGAATCTGTCTCCCCAGGCTCTGAGACTCACTGCTGTGGGCTGTGTAGCTGTAACCTAAGTGACTTGCCTAAGATCATACAGGAAGCTTGTGGTATGAATAGGAACCAAACCCTGATCTCCTGAGTCAAAATCCAGTACGTTCCTCTCATGATCTATGCTTCTCCCTTTTGCCCCAACACCAGTTTACCTCCACGCAGTTCCCATAGGAAATCTCTGTGCCTGACCAATACCATCTCTCACAGCAATAAAAGCTGGTGTTCTGTCTTTTCTGCATTATAAATACTCATGATTTTTTCTTGTCTTTTTAGAATTCACTTCAAAATGTAGAAACTCCAGTCAGAGGTAAATATGTTTCTTTTACACATTAATACAAACAATAAACAATTAGCAAAATGCGCATTTTGCTATTTGAATTAATGTTAAAGAATTCATTTCTTAATTTATAGCATAAACCATTTTCTGTAAGTAAAGCAAATGCAAGTGTTTCAAAGTCTATATAGTATCAGAGGGGTAGCCATGTTAGTCTGAATCTGTAAAAAGCAACAGGTCCTGTGGCACCTTTAAGACTAACAGAAGTATTGGGAGCATAAGCTTGAAGAAGTGAGGTTCTTACCCACAAAAGCTTATGCTCCCAATACTTCTGTTAGTCTTAAAGGTGCCACAGGACCCTTTGTTACTTTTTACAAAGTCTATATAGATCATTATATTGTCTCCAATTCATTTTAGAGATAAAATAGTCATTTTTTTCTCAGATTAGAAAATATAGTCAGTTATGGTGGGCATTTTAAAAAGCAAAGCGTATTGAGCCCCTTTTAGAGGTTGTCCTTAATCTCCTTTCTCCTGCTGGAAAAAAAGAAATGAAGCACCACGGTGAAGCTGCAAATTTAGGTTTGTCTGTAACATTTCTGTCCTTCTTTATAAACTCTGGTGCTGTTATGCTAGTAATATAATTTAAGTGATTTAGTAAAATGGTAATGGGGACAAACAACCATCCATCTTTAGTCCCCCTAGTTCAAATCAGACCAGACTAGTAGGGACTGAAAATTGTTACTGACTGATTGGTGTTTGATGTCTTATGTGAATTAACTAAATGGTCTCAGTTTATTTGCTCAGACTGATGTCCATGTTGCAAATATATATATATATATATATATATATGAATGTGTATCAATCACTCTTCGTTGCAGTATGATCTGAGTTTCTGAGAACTGAATGGATGCAAAGAATGTAAAAGCCCTTCATGTTTAGGGTTTGTTTATACATGAAAGTTGATCCAGAATAAGAGAAACTGTGAATTTAAAGCAGATTGACTATTCCAGATTAGCTCTGTGTATTTTATTCCAAATTAGCTCAATCTGCTTCCAAAATGGATTAACATAATTCAAAATAAGGCACTCCATGGATGGACACTCTTGTTCCTGAATAAATCAGGAATAGCTATTCAGGAAAAGATTTCTGTATAGACAAGTTTTTAGAGATGGTTCTGGTCAGGGCTGGGGTATGGTGACCAGATCAATGCCAGGATAGCTTGTAGCTGCTAACCAACTGTACCTGTATTCTGGATTTTAGACTCCAGGCTGGTCATTCCAACATTTTTCAAATTCATTACAAATAAATAAATTAAATAATAACACAATTGTATAAAGAGCACCTACATCCTCACCTGCAGGAAAGAGCAAAGTGTCCTTGTGCATAACAGAGAGGTGAGCATGCAAGTGCCATGAGCAGGAGGCACCTATGGTCTGTGGAATTCCTCACCCTTGGAAGAAGTTTTTTATATCATGAGCTTTGTTCAACTCTAGTTATGGCAACAATTTGCTAAACATGAGAGGAATTAATAGTTGCTAATTACCATCTATCCCTCATATACCTTATGCATCTTCTTCCGCATTCTCTTTAAAACACCCTCGTGGAAAGAATTTAAACCATTCCTCTGTATAAAGCTATATGCAAGCTTGGGCTTTACTGAATCAGCACTTTCCTCAAAGAAAATCTGTTCGATGTATTGAAGAGCATTATAGATCTCTAACAGACTTTTGCCTATCTGCTGGTCTACACCCTTTTATTTATGCCAGAAAAGTGTCAGTCTTTTTCAGTTGAAGGCTTTTGTATTTGTTCTGGCTACACCCTTAATTTCATAAGCATTGCTGAATCCATTCTGCAATGTACCCTTAGGAACTGCACATTACTGATTGCAGTGAGGTCCTGTCAGAACTTGTTGGCATCTTAGTATTCAAACAGGTTAAATCCTGGTGATGCTGTTTGCATTGTCTTTTTAAGCTATTTTTATTAAACTTTTTTCTGTTATTAATTGTAACTTGTGATGGGGAAAGATGATCATTTCTAGACTTCCCACCTGTCTGCCCAACAGCACGTTCCCATAAAATAGAGAATACGATTATTCAAGTCAATAAAGATTTGACATTGTGGGTTTATTATGATCCAGGTTATAGACAGACAGAAGCAAGTTTATACAGAACTCATCCTGTTTGTCTTCTGTGAAGCTGTAATGGATTAATGGTTTGTACAGTATTAGAGTATGGAGCCTTCTAATGAAATTACTACCTGAGTTCATATCTGACAGAATAAGCAGCCTTAATATTTGGTCAGTACTTTGTCGGAGGCATTCCTGAAGACTATCCGTGCACCATAAAGAGGAGTTGTTCAAGTGACAGTATCTTTCCTCTGTGCTGCTAGAGATGCCATCTTTTGGAGGGAATGTAAAATAGATATCCTCACTGCTTGAGGATTACTGACGTTCTCATGGCACTGCTAAAGATGTAAAGTTTGACAAATTCTTTTTGGAATTTAACAATTATTTCTAGAACTGATCAGAAAATCTTAAGTATTTTCCACAAACATTTTTAAAAGAAACAATACATTTGCTTTATTCAAATTTTCTGTGGAAATTTTCCAGTTTTTTAATGAAAAACTGAATAACTTTTTTTCACCAGACCCATTTTTGCCTATTTTTTTCCTGGTTAAACGAAGTTGAGAAAAAATTATTTTGGATTGAACAATACATTTTGTTTTGATTTTGAGCTTTTTTCACATTGTTGCATTTTTAAATTGAAGGCCGTTTCTAAACAAAAAGTCACTTTGACCCAAACAATCACATCTTGTTTTTTCTAAAATGTTTAAACAAAATGGTTCAACTTTCTCTATTTTTTTTTTTTTTCAAAATGAACAATTTGGTAAAACCAACACAAACTCAAAACATTTTCGGTGTCACTGAATTTGCAAATTTTTCAGAAAAAAAGTTATGTCTGAAAAAAAATTGCCCACTTCTAAACAGAATATTTTTAGTTTTCAGGGGTTTTCTGTATCATACCCTTTTAATTTCCTACCTTTTGTGATCACTTCAGTGTTCTAAGTAGTACTACAACTTTAATTGTGTCTTAATGAAGTTCTTTGGTTTAGGAATTGTATTCAGGGGGCTTGCTCTTTTTCTTAAAATAGCTAGGTAGATGCAGTTTTAATACTGTGTTCTCCATATTAGCTGTCAGGTGTCACAAGAATGTGAAGCTTTTCTTGTCTGAGATTCCATTCAGCCATTGAAACAATGTTCATGTAGTAACTGGAGGGAATGTATATACAGGAGTACAGAGGGCATATTTAACATGTATTGAGCTGACATAATCTACTACAACAACAACAACAACAAAATGCTCACTCTGACAGAAGGCCTAAGACTAAAACAATACATAAAAATATAACATTGGAGAAGAAAGAAAGAAAGCAATCTGGTATATGCTAATTTATTTTATTCTTTGTTTTCCAAAGTCTAGAAAGTATATGCTGCAGGTGTAAAAGTCAACACTTTCAGTTACTAAATTGCTTACTTAATTTTGCTTACTGGAGGAGGAATTCTCTCTGTAAAGAGAGTATGTGCAAGGATTAATGTGTTTTGTGGAGAGCATTGCAGAAGCTGAATTTCATCATGCATGGTCTCAGTCCATTTCCCAGTGGGCATGTCCACATCACAGTGGCGGAGATCTTAAACTAAATCGTTTCAGACTAGAAATTGGGTGCAGATTTTTAACAGTGAGGGCAATTAACCAGTTGAACAATTTACCTTGGGATGAAATGGTTTCCACCATCACCTGAAGTCTTTAAATCAAGTTTGGATGTCGGCTTTAGACCAGACAGAAGTTATGAATATGCAGGAATTACTGGGTCACATTTTACAGCCTGTGTTATGCACATGTTAAAACTAGCTGAGCATAATGGTCTTTTCTGACATTAAACTCTATGAATCACAAAAAGCAACTGGAGTACTTGGCTTCATGAACAAATAGTGTACATGGTACACCAAATCCTATGTAACAGCTGACTATGTAAAAAAGATTTTGCCCAGCCATTGTGAGTAATGGACGCTTACAAACCTGCCAAGATATTTGTGTCTCTAGTTTTGTTAATTGAGGTCCTGCTTAATGAATGAAGAGTGGAAAGAACGGCTGTATCTGTCTTAGAAGCTGCAAAGGGATTTTAAATTGAGGTCTCGTAGTAAATAAATCAGAGATCAGTGGGCTTTGGCAGTACTGTAGCTAGCCATTTTAGCTCCCGGGGCGAGCAAGCACATTTGCACCTCCTACCATTTTGTCCCTGCCCCATTTTTCCACTCCTGCAGCTTTGCATCCCACTCGGCCCTCTCTGGTTACAGCCCTGGGCTTTGATGTCAAGAAAAAAGTGTACCTGCTACTTTCAGGAGTTAAAAATGAACATCCATCTATTTATACACTGGACTGAATATTACTTTAGGAAGATTCTTGCACTTTACCTCAAAATATACTAAGACACTAAGTAATCACAGTAGAAGATGCACCAGGGGCCATTCTTTTATTTGTTTGGAGCACTCTGCATTCAGTTTAATCTGTAAAGGCACTTATCAGATCTACTCTTCTGAAAAATTATGTTAGTGCACAGTATAATCTGGTCTATAATAGCCTTGTGAAGTTCTATTCATCAGCTTGCTTGGTGTAGGTAATTTTTCTGTCATGTAAAATATCCATTTTTTTCACATTCATCACCACAATCATTGTAAGAGTGAATTTTGTGCTTGTACTAGTAAGTTTTCATGGTGATATAGCAAGGCTAGTGTATGTATACATATTGTTCCATCAATGTGACATGTTTTAGCTCCAAAGTATAAAGTTTGATCCATCGTCATTCCTTCCGCAGCCACAATATACCTAAGAATATAGAAGGAGAATTCCATTATCTGGAAGCTCATCCATGTTTCTTCTGATTCTTGTTATTTAAAAAAAGCTTTCCTATTCTGGTTTGGTTAATGTATTCTCATATTATCTTGTTCTCTACATATAATCTGAAACATTGTCCTACAGCTTTCAACGTGTGATTATGTAAGAAACACTGGAGGCCAAAGGGCATGTTTCAACAAACTGAGGGTTGTAGTTGGCATTTTAAAATGCTTCTGAGCTATGTTTCACTGTGTTTTACAAAGAGATGAGAAAAACCTTCTGCAAATTGTAGTTATTATCGGCTTTATCTTGCAGCCATTGACCTCAGTGGGACTGCCTGCAGATAGGAAGGGACTGTCTGTACATACATTCCACTTTGGACAAGTGAAAAGACCTTGACTTCACTAAATAATTGCCTCCAGACAGCTCTTGACTGTATGTTCACAAACTCTCACTCAAATTAATCCATTTTGGATCAGATGGATTTATGTATACTATTTTGGCACAAGAAAGCACCTTCTTTGTATTTCTAAATATGCCCCTTTCTCATCAAACCTGTTTTGGAGCTCCTAGGACATGTAGATGTGGTTGAATGTAATTCTGTAGAGCACAGAAGAACACAATGAAAGGCTTAGTATGGAAATTACAAAATTGTTTACAGGAGTGACAGGGACATGAAAGTGGCTTTGAGGATAGGAAAAGGGCCCAGTAAAAGGTGCAGGCAATACAAAAGGAGGATAGATGGAGAAGAGGAACAGTAAAACGAATGAATAGGAAAATGGAGAGCAGATGAGAAAAAGAGCAGAGAGAAGTATAAACAAAAATAGATTGAAGAGGATTGAGAGTTTTGTTAGCCTATCAAACTATAAATTTACTCGTTCAGATCCAGAAGAGGCATTCACAACACCATAAGAGGCAGTGTTGTAGCCATTCTTTTCTGGAGCTATGATTTGGAGGCATATTTCCGGGAATGAAAGGCAAAACAAGTTGACACCTCCCACATGTAGACAATATATAGGTCCCGGTTCAGCTTAGCATTGACTCATTAACTTCAGTGGGACTTAAGCAGCTGCTTAAATTCAGGCACCTACTTAAGTGCTTTGTTGAATCAGGACCATAGATGGCAAAATACACTCTAACCCATTCATCCGTGCACACTTGTGATTGGACATGCATTGAGATTAATAGAATATAATGAAAAAGTAGTCCAGTTAAACTGTATCCTCTTGTTTCGATGTATGGGTAGTCTGAGACAAGAAGGGTGCAATAATTTTGGAGGTACCGCACCTGTGAATGATAGAATTTAGTATATTTTGTATGATATTTATGGATATTTTAGGGTTGATTGCATCTTTCTTACTTGCTATTCATATCAGGTCTCCAGGATCCATTTTGCAACTCTCATACAACAACTTGAATTATAACGTACAGTCTACATTTATTTTAGAGACCCCATCTCTGTAATTTTCAGGTCCTGTATGATCAAATGGTCACAGTTATGCTAAGATAAGATCATAGTGGCATGCTTTTAAAATATAGTCAGATAAATTACTGCAGCTGAAATGAGCTTGGGAAATGTAACAATTCACCTAAACATTTCCAGATTTCAAACTCTTAATGGGATAGGGAAAGAATCAAATATTAATTATAGTATGTGGCATGTTTATCCTATTAAGATTTTTTTAAATCTTACAAAAATTACAGAAGGGTTTAGAAATGTATATGAATCTGAATAATATCTGCACGTGCACTAGCTAGAATAAAACTGGAAGGGATATTGATCCTCTCACTTCAGGGAAGAAAATTAACTTCGGTTAAGCAGATATTTCCCCTGTGCTACAGTATTAAGCAAGTAGATACATTATGGATGCTTGGGTCTTCCTCTGCATCATCCACTATTGGCCACTCCTGGAGAAAAGTACTGTATAGCAATAGGTGGACTAGCTGTTAGTCTTGGTTACCCACATACCTTGGGAAGTAAGGAGGGCTGTGAGGGGAAAGGCAAGGGCAACTGTTGTGTATTTGGTTGTTGTGGTAATAGAATCTTGTGTTGCTATGGCAACTGAGTTAGATTATTAGGGGATAGCCCAGCCTGTTTTGGCTGGCTGTTGGTTAGTTCTGTGTGTAGCAATAAATGGCTGCTCCAAGGTTTACAGCTCTCTGTGTCTCCAGTGATTTCTTCCTAAAACTGTTGCCCCCGAGGATATAACAGCAACCCTAGAGTATTTTAAAACATTCTGGCACTAGATTAACCAAGAATACCCAGCACATTGCACTCTGGCTGTCTCCCTTCCTTCATGACATGCCCCCTACACCAGGAAAACTGACATAAAGCCTTTCACACCAGCTCTATTCCAGTCCTGCTTGGGGCTCCAACTTACACTGGGATTCAGGCTGCCCCAAGAAATATGGAGAATACAAATGTGGCTAAAAGTCAGTGGGCATAGCGGCAGAACAACAGAGAATTGGAGCCATTATCTATTTTATGTCTGAATACAAGTGTATTATAGATTAATAAATTACTATACATGTCCTACAATACACATTGCAAAATCACATAGTATTAACATTTAACTTGCACTAGTTCTCAACTCTTATTAACTATGTTGCCAGGTCCCCTGAACTAAATAGTTGCTTAGCTGCAGAAAACATGATAAATATCCCCACAGAGTGGGAATTAAGAGACTAAAATGACGTATCTGAAGTGCCCTGACTTTACAGTGGTTTAAAAAGTCTTCCTTTGTAAATGCCTTAGTTTGAAGATATTGTAATAAAGGACTATTGATATACCAGAAAATGAGCTAAGATGGCTTTCAGGAGCACAGATGGCTAATTGGCTTCACTTGGTAGATTGTCATTTTAATTAAATTTTAATAGGAGGAATTTCAAAGCCATAATTGATGTCTTATGATAAATATGCTTCTTTACCAATGACCTATTGCTAACCTTTATTTTTCCCCCAGTCTTGATAGAGAATGCTGTGACAGAGCTGTCTGCAGCCATCTCCCATCTCATCCATGTTTTCAGCAGCAGCTTTCACACAGATTTTCAGCCTGCAAAAATACTTAGAAGCCCTTCATGTGCAGATGTCGACCTAGATCCCCACTTTAGCTTCACTGTTTATGCAGCCCACAACATCCCAGCAGCCTGGCTGAAAAGGTAGGAGGTGCCAGCCCTTCTCTTAAGAAGGGCTTCTTTTCCTCACGTGTATTACAGCTAGTTGCAGTGCATGGCTGCTGCATGTCAATAAAGATGTTTTGTGTTGCTGTTATGAAAACACTGGTCAAATTCAGGTCTAGTGTAAGCAGAAGCAGCTGTATTATTTTCCAGGAAGCTGCACCCACTTACACCGAAGAGAGGACCTTTTTGGAGCATTATAGGTAGGGGAGCATAGGTGGAGGACTCAGGAGGCAACCTAGGCATCTGCACCAGACAAGTGTGGGAGGACAATGGTAGGGTGGGTAGCTGCCCTGGCAGGTATGTGTTAGAGAGAGACCTGCCAAGAGAGAGGGTTGTGGATGAAGGGGGAGAGGGGTTTGCTACCTCCCCACAGAGAGGGGTGTGGCAGGATTCGTGTGGGCCCTGCATAATGAGTGGCTCATGGTTCGAGGCCATCTTGCTGAGTCAATGGAGCTGCACCTGCTTACAGCAGGTCTGAATTTGACCTTAGCAATGACATTCATGGAAGATGTATTTAAACCATGATTACCGGGCTACACCTATGCAGGGACAATTTTTGTTTACAGATGATGGTTAAATACATTTGTAGTTTTATAGGTCTGAGTGTATCTGGTACATTAAGCACCACAGAGAAAAACAGAGGGAGACAACTTTAATAAAAGAAAAAAACTAATATAAATAATCTCTGCCACATTATTTATTTGTTCAATTAGTGTCTCTTCAAATGGCTGGTTTTCCTACTTTATTGTAAAGTGAACACTTTCCCCTCGCCACACCAAGGCAATCAAGAGAGGGTCAGATGACTGCAATCTGGCAGCGTTATTGTTACAGGGGGACATGCTGTTTTCCAGATTTTTATTAATGTTTTTCCCATGCACCCACTTTCCCCTGAATTGCAGATGACTAATTAAAACACAATGGGATCATTTGCATTAGAACATTAGCAAAGGAATGTACTATACAGCATTTAGCTATAATTAGCAGTTTAATAAAAATTTCAAAAAATTTGCATTACTGAAGATAATAGATACAGAAGCATAATCACCGCTCTGATTCTGCAGATGGTTGTACTGTTCCCAGTGCATTTTATTTTAAGGATTTACCACTAAGATGTGAAATTATACGTGGCCTAGAGGCCACTGATCATTGAGCTCCATCTCAATATACATACATATGAGAAAATGAGAATAATTTTTCTTTCTAAATCTCACTCTCCGATCTTTCCAACATTCAGTTGCTAAAATAGCCTTCCTTTCCTACCACTGCAGCTCTGTAACCTACCTTTCTCTGGTGCCTCTACTGGCTCCCTGCCTCTTTTCGCATTCAGATTTCTCATTCTTTCTTCTAAGGCACTGCACAATTCTGACCCTCACATCTCAGCTCTTGTTTCGGCCTGTTTGCAATTTTGTACAACTATGTTCCTGCTGTTCTTCTCATCTTGTTGCTTCCTTTGTTTGCCGGTCCCATGTCTTCCCCTCTTCCGGCTGCTCCCACCTCCCCTCACTTCCTACAACAACCTTCCTTGTTCTAGTAAAGAACAAGCCTCATTTCTGTCCTTCTCCTTAAAACTCACTTCTGCTGGCTGGATTCCTGTCACTTGCTTTCACCTTTGTGCTATTGATTCCTCATTCCTAGCCTTACTTTCTTCTTCAAATAGATAATGTACAGAACCTTACAAGTTACAGAACAACATAATGATACAAATTATATATGATTTATTGTCATCCCTTCCCCCTCTTATCCTCTAATTTTATCTGTGCTTTCCATGTTGTCTACCTAATTTAAACTCTGATCCTGCAAAGACTTTAGCATGTGCTAAACTTCATGCACTGTAAGCGATCCTATTGACTTGAATTAAACTATTCACAGCATTTAAAGTTAAGTATACGACTTTCCAGGAAGGAGGCCTTAGAGCTTAAGTTCTTTGGGGTAGGGACTGTATTTATAAAGCATTCTTACAGTGTTCTATTGCAATTTAAATAATAAAAATCCAGGACTCTGTCTTGTCAGTGTTTATCTTTTGTTTCATAATTTTACAATTGCATTTATTAATTGTAGGACTAAAGTATAAATGTCATTGTTGTCATATTTAAGACCAAATGCAATTCCTATTAGTTATAATTAAGTATTGCATCCTTTTTCTTCATGGAGTTCTCTCTGCTGACTCCTCATCTTTATCCGCCTCAGCTGAATAGAAACATGTATAATATAATAATTAATATTCTTGGAAAAAATCAACACTGACTCTTTTATAAAGAAGGCAAAAATAGGAACCTCGAGTCACCAAACCCCTTCAGATTTGCTGTTCAAATCTGACTCCCTAGCTCTACACTATGCCTATAGTTCTTGTTCAGAATCTCAGAAGAAGACCATGTTTTGCAAGAAGATGGAAACCTTTCAAGAAGAGCAGATATTCTCATACTCCACCATTTTGAGCTCATATTGCATATGATTTCAATGATAATGAATCTGAAACCAAACCACAGCCCTGAAATTGTTTTGAACCCAAAACTTCAACCATAATCTAACCCAAACCAGATGAGTGTTCAACACTGTCACCGACCAGCATAATAATAAATACACATACAGTAGTAATTGCACATCTCTGTAAGCATTATCGTCTCTTTACAGATGTGGAACCTGGGGCACAAAGAGGTTTACTGTTGCCCAATGTTACACAATGGAGGTCTGATCCTATGCACCTTAAAGTCAATGGCAAAACTCTCATTGATTACAGTGGTAATGAATCAGGCTCAGTCAGTAACATGGCTGGGAACAGAACGTAAGAATCCTGACCAACACTCCTGTACTCTAACAGTAAAAACAATAATAATATGTTTTTATTAAAACACTAGCATAAGCCTCAAGGATGAGCCTTTCAGCATTCTGACTAGCTAACCCGAAATTTCTTCTATAAGGTATGTTTAATTATAATTAATATTTTACATTTCTTTTTCTTTGTAGCTACAAACTCTTCTCTTTTTCCTGTTCTTTAACTTATGCTGGGAAGAAAATATGTCAAGTGAAGAACTGCAAAAATATACCAGTTAAAAAGTCTTTTTTTTTCCTGGCAAACTGGAATGAGAAGTAAGTTTTAATCTTCATTTGAAGGATGCTAGTCTGCCTCATTTTACACAACCAATATTAGATTCTAAAAAATGGAGGGGATAAAGGTGTCTTCTAGAGATGGTGTCAGCTCATTTCACAGGTAGTAATAATGTTCTAAATACGCCAGTATGGTAATAATAAAGCTAAGTGCAATGGATAAAAGTTGATACCTGGACATATTCTCTAATCTGTCATTATCCTGCATTTAGGGCACCAATTGTGGGCCAAAAGGACCCTCTGTGCATGGATGTTCCTTTTTCTGCAAGTAGAATCTCCACAGATTCTAGTGATCAGTAAATGAAGGGATGGGGAGCAAGGAGTGGACAAACCAGGAGAAGGAGGGAGATGGGTCACGCTGGGAGCCTGGCTTATGGGGACACACATTATCCTTTCTGGGACTGAGCATAAACTAAAGGGAAATGTAAATGAAGCCCCAGGCTGTATTTGTGGTGGTCAGTAATCCCTCTGTATCCAAGGTGCTTGAAAGAGATTATTTTTATTCAGTGAGACAGTTTCCAACTGCCTCTGCCTATGAGAGCATAGGTCTCTGCAGTGCTCCTCCCTGAGACTTCCTGCCTGGAAAGCTAAACCACTTAAAGGTACAGTTCCCAATACTACACATTTCACTTTCCAGCACAGGGATCTCCATGCTGGGGAACCACCTTTAAAGGGGTGGGGGAGAGAGGGGGAGGAAGAGCTTTGGGACAAAAGTCAGCCAGGAGTCCTTGGTGTAACAGATACAAGGGATCTGCACTGCAAGGGGGCAGGGAGTGAGCTTCAGTTTTATACAGAAACATAAGGCCTCTGCAGTAATGGCCCTTCCCCTCCCTCCCCCCCGAGAGGATCCATGGGGTTTGCGGGCTGGACCCTCAGTTTCTTCAGTGGGTGGGAAGAAACACCCGTCTCTGCAATGGAAGAAAGAAGGACATTCAGGGAGTTTCCTGGTTGCTGTGTAAGTGTGTTCGCACAGGGACAAGTTTTCACTAGTGTCTGCCTTCTGATAATCATGTGCAGCTCCCATTGAAGCTGAAGGACAGTTTTTAACTTCTTGACCTGAAAAATTAAACATAACTTTGTCATTAAATCATTTTTTTTTAAAAATCATTCCCTCCTGTACAGCCTTTTCTCTTTATTATTACAACTGTCTGTGTACAATGATAGCAGTTAAAAAGTCAACAGTTACCTTACTGTGGTATGTGAGAGAATGTGGTCTGATAGGGTTAAGTCCAAGTTTCTGCCTCCCCTTGTGCAGGTGCTCAGGAGAAAGTAATGATGTTGGGCACTATAGGCTAATCAGGCTCCCGAGCAGAAAAGCATAAACCCGATAGAAGTAGCTGTTTTGGAGGACAGAAGGGGAAGTCATTTGGCGCAACACAGATTCCACACTCAGTTACTATAGAGCTGAGATGGTAATGCAGAGTAGGGTTTTTCTTTGTATTTCTCATGTCAGGCCCTCTAGTTTTGTTGCTGTAATTATCTTATTGGATAACAAAATCTTTAGTAGGAGTGTGGGCAGCCTGACTGGCTTACGTTTTGTATTTTATATCAGCTAAACCTTTTCAGCGGTTTACCTCTTGTTATTACCTATTCAAAATGATGTCTAAGACACTACCATATAGCGAATGTTGGCAAATGTTGACTTTTCAATGGTGACCACTGAAGTTATACATTTAAGTAAAGTTTGGTTTGACAAACGCAATCATCTGACATGGGTCATGTAATTACAATTGTGTTGTGTGATTTTTTTCTCTTGCTTGATTTTTGGTGTTGAATATTTTATTGTCGTTTAGGGCTAAAGGAGAGAACTACAGTGCTCACTGTTTGAATCTTTACAATGCTGGTTAACATAGGCAATTGTTCTCTTTATGGTGTACAATTCTTTTTCTGTATTTATTTTCAATGGTTGTCACCATTTGAGTACCATTTTCTTTTTAAGATCATTGCTTATCTGGAATACAAAGGAAACGATTTGCTGATGTGAGTTGAAGGCTAAGGATCAGATATATCTGAAAGGAAGAAAAGAATAAAATAGAGTTGTTCCTTTATTAAAAGAAAGCTGATTCTGATTTGCATCGTGGCCTTCCAGAGATTTCTGATAAGCAGCAGTTCATTTTCAGTCAGTTCAAAAAAAGTAAGGAGGAAAGTGCAGCTAGGGAAGTATCAGGTGAATATGTGTCTTGTGGGTATTCTTGGCTGCCTAAGAAGTGGTCACCTTTCTAATATGCATCCCAGGAAATCTGTATTTATAGGAGAAGATTTTTTTTTCAGGAGTAGGAGACCCATCTGATATAGTAAGAAACTCCTCAGCAAAACAAACAAACAAACAAACAAACAAAAAGTCTGATTTCTGGTTCTACCTGAATGCAGAAGTTAAGAAATCAAATAATTAGAGAGTCAGGGGTTCTGTTACCAGCTCTGCAGCTGAAGTGCAATATCAAGTGGTTACAATTCCACTCGCTGAGGTCCTTTTTTAAAAAAAGAAAAAGATATTTCTGTATCCATGTGTGGTGGTTTGAGAACTGGGTTAAAATTGTGAGCTATCACTTTAAATTCCCTGGTCCTGCTTGAAGAATAGGGAGTTCTGTAGGGAAGTATGTAATCTGGGTCTTTCAGGGTACACAGCAATAGACTGACTCTGAGGGTACATCTACACAGTAAAGAAAAACCCATGGTTGGCCATGCCAGCTGACTCAGGCTCGCAGGGCTCAGGCTGCGGAGCTGTTTCACTGCTGTTTGGATATCTGGACTCAAGCTGGAGCCCAGGCTTGAAGACCCTGCAGGGTGGGAGGGTCCCAGAGCTCAGTCTCCAGCCTGAGCTTGGAAGTCTACACAGCAGTGAAACAGCTCCACAACCCAAGCCCTGCAAGCCTGAGTCAGCGGGCCTGGACCAGCTGCGCGTTTTTCTTTGCTGTGTAGACGTATCCTTAGGGCACGTCTACACTGGCAAAGTTATAATGCCGGCAGTTACAGCGCCGCTCAGAGAGCGCTGAAGGGAAACCGCTGTTGTGTGTTCACACTGTCAGCTGCCTGCGCGATAGCGTGTTCACACTTGCAGCGATATTTGGAGCGTTGCACTCTGGGAAGCTATCCCACAGAGAACCTCTTTCTTTTCTGCTGCTAAGACTTGTGGGAAGGCGGAGGAGGTCGCGGGGCATCCTGGGTCCTGTCCCAATGACCCGTGATGCATTGCTTCGCATCCCAGAAATCCCCATGTTTCTGTCCGCATTTGGCGCCATCTTTCAGTGGTTTGTGTATTGCGTGCCCTGCCTCTTCGGGCTGCAGGAATGGATCCCGAACTGCTGACCAGTATGCTGCTTGCTCTGACCAACACGTCATGAGTGACAGTGGAGTTATTCCTTAAACTACAAAGACACGAGGAGTGCGACACTGATCTCTCCATGCATAGTAGCTACAACATGGGATTACCTGTGGCATTCACGGAGGTGCTGACCACAGTGGAATGCCGCTTTTGGGCTCGGGAAACAAGCACTGAGTGGTGGACTCACATCATGATGCACGTCTGGGATGATGAGCAGTGGCTGCAGAACTTTCATATGAGGAAAGCCACATTCATTGGACTGTGTGATGAGCTCGCCCCAGCCCTGTGGCGCAAGGACACGAGAATGAAAGTTACCCTGTCGCTGGAGAAGCGTGTGGCGATTGCATTGTGGAAGCTGGCTACTCCAGACTGCTACCGATTGGTCGCTAACCAGTTCGGAGTTGGAAAGTCGACTGTTGGACTCGTGTTGATGGAAGTGTGCAGGGCCATTAATCGCATTGTGCTTCAAAAGACTGTGACTCTGGGCAACGTGTGTGAGATTGTGGATGGCTTTGCACAAATGGGCTTCCCTCACTGCAGAGGGGCGATAGATAGCACACACGTTCCAATTCTGGCACCAGACCACCTAGCCACCGAGTACATTAATCGCAAAGGGTATTTCTCAATGATTCTCTGACGCTTGTGGATCACCGTGGGCATTTCACAGACATTAACACAGGCTGGTCTGAAAAGGTGCATGACGCACGCGTGTTTCAGAACACCGGCCTGTTCAAGAAGCTGCAAGCAGGGACTTTCTTCCCAGACCAGAAGCTCACCGTAGGGGAAGTCAAAATGCCCATTGTGATCCTGGGAGATCCTACCTACCCCTTAATGCCATGGCTTATGAAGCCATACACAGGGCAACTTGACAGAAGCAAGGAGCACTTCAACAACAGGCTGAGCAAGGGCAGAATGACTGTTGAGTGTGCTTTTGGCCATTTAAAAGCCCTCTGGCAATGACTCTATTGGAAGCTGGACCTGGCTGATGACAATATTCCTATGCTTATAGCCGTGTGCTGTACGCTCCATAATATTTGTGAAGGGAAGGGTGAAAGCTTCACTCAGGGCTGGTATATATGATCTCTAGCCAGAATAAATTAAGCCATACAATGTCCTTCTGAAGTATTATTTGTTTTACAGACAAGTCACTAAATGGTGACATGTCTTATGAAAGACCACAATAGAAGTCTGTGGCAGAGTCAATATTGCAATGACGTTCTCCTAGCTCTTGGCCTTGTGCTATTGCTTTAGAAGTGTCTCTCCACTCAGTCTAAGATGAAGAGAAATTGTTCTATAGAATAGCTTATGAAGTTATATAGAATAGAATATCTCATGAAAGAGGTAGTGTACCATTCATTTTCTGTTGGGATATATTTCCTTTGCTGCCTTATACGTAGAGCTAATTTCACTCTTACTTATTTATGTGCTGGTTTTTAATTGGTCTTTTCTTTTTAAAAGGAGACATGAGTGACAATGGGGCCGTTAGGAAGAGATGCTAAAAAGTCACTTGGATTTATGTCCAGCAACAGCTCAATCAGCTGATGGAGGAATTTTGTGCTGACAGCTAATTGGATATAGCTGACACCAATGAGGCTCATTACTTTAGATTAGAAAGGATTGAGTTATCAATATGGGCAAGAGAGACGGAAATGGAGGGAAAGATTTTGCTGAGTAGAGGCCCAGACAAGGAGTTCCTAAGGAAGGTGTGTGTATATATATATATATATGGTTTGTATTTTGGAGTGCTCTAAACATAGGGAGGGAAGGCAGCTCAAGACTTAGACACTTGACAAATATTTTGGCTAAACCAGAAACCCTAACAGAGGTTTTTTGTGTTTGAAACTGAGCTGCTTGTGAAGTCTCACTTTCTTTGCTTGTTGCCTCCCTCTTTCCCACCGTTTGTCTGGAATGTCTGTTCAGATTTTAGTTTCTTTGAGGCAAAACCTAATATAATAGGGCTCCAGTTTTCATTATCGTCTTTGGGTGCTACTGTTGTATACATTTTAATTATCCTGTGCACTGAATGAGACAGGGATCCTGTTTTTTAAAAAATAGTATGTGATCATGTAATTAGAGACTGCACCATAATGAATGTACACAGGCAAACGTCATTCTGGCATTTCCTATTTTTTGAGTGATTGTCTTAACAACCTTAATAATGTTTGCAGTGTTGTGGCAGTGTGGGTAAGGAAATATATTTTACTCAACCACATAGAGCTGTTTTTCGGGTCTTCAGTGTAAGCTCGAAAGCTTCTCTCTTTCACCAACAGAAGTTGGTCCAGTAAAAGATTGTGTCACCCACCTTCAACCTTAATAATGTTCTTTTAATTTAGCTTTTTGTGTTTAACTTCCTAGGTTATTAAAAAACAAACTAAATAAAAATAATTTCATCATGTTGATACTCACATGAATTATAAGTAGCACTGGAGCCTTTAGAGCCACTACACAGACCTCTGCACTTAATGGTGTAACTGATAGCAATAGTAGGTTGTCATCCTTTATATGGATTGGCATTATATGGGTATGAGACATACTTTGCCAGTGGGTTTCACAGATATTTGCTGACACCAGAGGAACGGTGAGACTCTGAAATCTTGATTTCCATTCCAGGCTCTGGAGGAGCGTGTCCTCTAGTGGGCACAGATTCTTCTGTCTTTTTTCCCCTTCTGTCTCATCTCCACCAACCTGTCCCTGTCAGTCCGGTCTCGTCCCTAGTCCTGGCTACTTGCCCTAGTCTACTTGCCCAGGCAGTCCTAATCACCCTTTTCACTGCAGCTGTCAGATCTGTCTCTTTTCCTCCCCTGCCACAATTCTCCCACCATGATCACCACTGGTTGCTAATCCTAGTCTTCGTCCAGCCAGTCCTAATTTCCTCCCCTTCCCACAGCTCCTTATTTGATCTCATTGTTCCTACCAGCCAACTGTCTCCCACTCCCATTTCTCACTGGCTCTGTCTTCTCACTGAGCTTGTAGTCCTAGTACCCTTGTCCAACCATTCCCAGATCCCCTTTATCTCCCATTCACATTTTCTCTTCTTGATTCCTTGTCCCAATCTACTCTTTTCCCTCCCCCTGATCTCCATTTGTCTCAGACAGCTTCTTTCTCCATGCTGCCTGAGTGCCACCCAGATGATCACTGAGAGCACAGACGAAACACAGTGAGAGCAGCTATTACAAGGGAAAGTCATTCTGGGCCTATATACCCCTAGACTGGGCTTGGGCCATGATTCTGCAACCTCATAATCTGAATGGAACCCATTGAAGTCAGGATCTAAGGCCTCGGATTGTAAATTCTTCATAGGGCCTTGTGATCTGCTTGCACAGTTTATCTGTTTTATGGTGGTTTATGTATATGAACAACAAGATGCAATCTACTCCTAGACCGTCTGAATTGAAAGTAATGTCAAATGTCACATTTCCTCCTAGGTCTAAAATAAGGCTTCGCATTTGGCCTATACCTTCTAAAGTTTGAGCTATGATCCCAAATAGTCAGAGTTGAACTCCTTTCAAATTACTAGCAGTTGAAGGTTGCAGCATGTCATGGTTACAAGGCAAGCTGTGACTTGGGCCCTTTTACAATCCCTCTGAAGTGCACCTCTCAGGTGACAGGCTTTGCTTTCTTCATCTCTTGCAAGGGTAGAGCCCTGCAGTTCAACCACTCTTAGACTGGATCTCTGGATTTCAGAACTCCCCCACCCCTCTTTCCCAACTGTGTTAACACAACAGGCCCAACTGCATTTGGCATCTGCAAGAAACTTTTCTCCAGAAGGCTGTGACAAACAGCTGACTGAAGTGACTCAAAACAGCTTCTTCAAAACAAATGTATTGTTTATTCACCCAGAGGTACATTGAAATCAAAGAATAGAGTAAAACAGAAGTCCTACATGCCTTGACTTATAATTTCCCTGGCAGTTTGAGCAAGCCTCACTAACACAGGCCCATCCCATAGGGCCTGTGTATTGGTTCCTCTGAGTGTCCCCTCAAGCAGTGGCTGATGGCTGAATTCCCTCTCCCTCTCTAGAGAGGAAGTTTTTAACTGTTCAGTGTCCCAGTGATCTTAGACTCTGAACCTTGGCAAACCAGCTGTATAATTTGCATGGAGTCTGGAAATAGCATCTTCCTAATTAATAGCCCACCCATTGTTATCTTAACACCCTGGAAGTTGTTTATGCAGAGGTGATTTATCTCTGACCATTGTTTTGTTTCCTATTTGTTGTTCTTAATAGTCCCCTTTTATTTAATCTACATCGTCAGACAGAATAATATCAAGCAGGTAAACTGAAGTACACAGAATATTTATAAGTAATACAGTTATCTCCCATGTTCTGTACACACCCTATATCACTGGAAATTTTCCTGATAGACAATAAGGTCTTGGATTTGACCTATGGCTTCAGTCTCATGATGATCTAGCCATTCTTAAAGTCTGCACTTAATATAGCTTAATATAGCCTACTTTTAGTAGTGCTATGTATTTTGTCATAACAAAGTCCAAGTGAAGCCTCCAGCAAAAGTGAAGTAGAGAATCTGTATCTTGTAATATGAGGGATATTTTTTCCACTTGGTTACAAGACTAATGAGGCTTCCTGGCATTAGCAAAGATGTTTGCCCGGTTTATGAGTAATCTTTTATCTCCTGTATAATAAAGTGCAGGGCTTTTTTTCCTCCCTTGCATCAGATCTTTTAAGATGTTTAAGGTTGAGTACCCATGTTTTAGGGTCACTTTGTTCAGGATGAATGGAATTATGATGGGCTGTAAATGAAAAGACAGGAAATAACTGATTTGGAGATGTGTGAAATAGACTGCTTTCCCAATCACTTTTTGAAATTCACTAAGCTTTGGAAGAAAGAACAAAATATAGTGCATTGTCTGAAGAAGTGGGTTGTAGCCCACGAAAGCTTATGCTCTAATAAATTTGTTAGTCTCTAAGGTGCCACAAGTACTCCTGTTCTTTTTGCGGATACAGACTAACACGGCTGCTACTCTGAAACCTGTCTGAAAACTGTAAATAGGGACATTTGGGGAGACAGGGGGATGCATCTTAATTTCTTTGGAGTGAGACTGCTCTTTAAACTGAATGAGTGGAATATAGATGTTTTGCTTTATTAAAAGGAGGGTGTGGGGGTGGGGGAAGAGGGAGGTCAGTTGTTCAAGTATACCTTCAGTCAAGTTATGCCAGTTTTATAACAATGTAACTGACAGTGGAATTTTACCCTAAGTATAAGTTCCACATAACCCCTCCACCTTACCCCTGCTAGTTCTAATCCTAATGTTTTCCAGACTGTTAAATTATTTCAGTGGAGCTTCCTAGATTTGTTTCCAGAATGACAATACACATTTTTGAGAACACCTACAACTACGTCATTTCATTAAACGATCTAGAATGCTGAAAAATTTCACTCTGTTTAATTTAGATTTATATCCTAAGTTTTTAATATTGAAGCAGGTTCAGATCTTCATTTTCTAAAATGCTTGTATTACCTCTGCAAAATAGTTCTTTTAACCCTGAATTCTGAATATTGATTTTGTTTGCGTAGAAAATGTAATTAATCTCAATATCTGTTTGCAAAATCTGGCTTTGCACCAAATGTTCTCAGTGAAAATAAAAGACGTGCTTTTGAATATGAACATTCACTTCAGGAAAAATAAAGTAATACTTTGTAGGTCTCTGAACTAATGACTCAGATGTTTTTACACAGGTATGAAAAAAATCTCAATTACTAGGATTTGTGCAAATTAAAATTGTAAACCAGTTTATAAAACCTACGTAACTAATTTAATCAATCAATCTACTTGTTAATGGGCAATACAAACCTGAAATGGACACTAGTTTCTACAACTTTACTTGCTTAAAAAATTGACATGCATTGGATTTAAAACCGCATCAGCCTTTAAACTATGTTTGAAAAAAAATTACACATTGATTATACATGCATAAATTAGAGAATGGCATCATATCTTAAAATTTGTTAAGATACACACACACACACACTCACTCACTCTCCCATTGACTTCAATAGGATTTGTGCATATATGCCTGAGGGGAGAATTTAGCCCATTACCACGAGTTTATAATCCATTTTTCATTCATTGTTTATTCTAATGTACTTTCGTATTAACGGGATGGCCTTTGCTTGCAACAACCAAGCTAGTCCTGCCCTTCTCTTCTCTAGTGTTTGATCATTTGGATGGACAAGATTTTATATGCCTTTTCTCATGTAATGTGACCTCAGGTTAACTGTTGGCAATGCTTTTAATAGATCTGTCAGATGCATTTTCCCTCAAGGAATTGCTACCTTGCAGGTAATTGCTTAGTAAGGTGTGTTGTGGGATACAGTAAAACTTGAAAAGCAGTAACTGCAAATAACAATGTTAAAGTATGTTAGATTTCTTAAAATTGTGATTTTCTTTCAGAATCAACTTTCCTCTACAAATAAAATCTCTTCCTAATGAAACAATATTGATAATAAAACTATTTGGCGTAAACTGTGTGTCTAAAAACACAGAAATACTGGCTTGGACATGTTCCCCCTTGTATCAAAAACAGTAAGTACATTTTTGTATGATAGTGTTTTTTTTAAATAGCGTTCTTTAATTAAGTGCTATACTCTGCATGATAGGGAGGTCTGAAAGGAATATACAAACAAATGAACACTAATTTGAGCAGCTAAACAGAACTTTATTGCAATAAAGACTGAAACAGTCACTTTCAATAATTCTTCCACCTTTCCATACAGAGCTCTTTCAAGTCCTGATTTTCCTGAACCCCTTTGGATTGGGCTTCTCTGACTGTCCACCGGGTTGCCCTAGAAAATGCCCCTCATGTTGAAGGGCCTTGTTGCCTTCCCCTACCCTCACTAAACTACCCTCTCATTCAGACTATTTTCTTTCTGGATCTGCTTTCCTGTTCCCTCGCCCCCCGACCCTTTCCACACACTTACTTCTCATACTTCCCAGAATGGTGCTGCTAGTGGGACTACAGTGAACAGTTTCTCTGTTCCCTCCCCATAGTTTAGAAACTTCCCTCACATTTTAACTTTCCCTTTTTACCCAACACTCAGTTTAACATTATTTTAAAGATGCTTGTCGGTTATGACTACCTCTGTAACTCTATGTAAATAAAGACCTAGGGTGAAATATTCAAAAGTGAGTAAGTTGTATTTTATCTTTGACTTGGGCTAAGGCCAGCTTTTTAACGATATTTGTACTCTGACTTTAAGACCAGAAGAGACCATCATGATCATCTGTCTGACCACCTGCACATTGCAGGCCACAGAATCTCACCCACCCACTCCTGTAATAGACCCCTAATCTCTAGCTGAGTTACTGAAGTGCTCAAACCATGGTATCTAAAAGGGTGTCATAAGGAGGAGGGAGAAAACTTGTTCACCTTAGCCTCTAAGGATAGAACAAGAAGCAATGGGCTTAAACTGCAGCAAGGGAGGTCTAGGTTGGACATTAGGAAAAAGTTCCTGTCAGGGTGGTTAAACACTGGAATAAATTGCCTAGGGAGGTTGTGGAATCTCTATCTCTGGAGATATTTAAGAGTAGGTTAGATAAATGTCTATCAGGGATGGTCTAGACAGTATTTGGTCCTGCCATGCGGGCAGGGGACTGGACTCGATGACCTCTCGAGGTCCCTTCCAGTCCTAGAATCTATGAATCTATGAATCTATGGTTTAAAGACCTCAAGTTACAGAGAATTCATCATTTACACTAGTTTAAATCTGCAAGTGACCCATGCTGCAGAGGAAGGTAAAAATCCCCCAGGGTCTCTGCCGTGAACCCTCTCCTGGAGCTAGGTGCCTAATCCAGGTCAGACCTTTCTCACAAAAAATGAGAAGAAAGAGGTGGAGCCCCTCCTTATACACAATAACCCAGTGGTTAGAGAACTCACCCAGGTTCCGATGTCCACTCTGCCTGATTCAGAGCATGAATTTGAATCCAGAGTGCCCACCTTCTGGGTAACTGCCTTACTCACTGGGCTACAGAGTCATTTTCACTCTCCGGCCCAATGACTATATAAGTACACCTCTACCTCGATATAACGCTGTCCTCGGGAGCCAAAATATCTTAACGCGTTATAGGTGAAACGGCGTTATATTGAACTTGCTTTGATCCACCGGAGTACGCAGCCCCGCCCCCCCGGAGCACTGCTTTACCGCATTATATCAGAATTCATGTTATATTGGGTCGTGTTATATCGGGGTAGAGATTGTATTTCATACAAAGTGCAACCCACCCCAAAATACCCTAGCACCTGGGGGTTAGGGTGCTCTACTGGGAGGTGGGAGACCTGGTTGGTGTAGATTAGGGGTGTTCTGAGCACGCCTATCAGATCAGGCTCTGCAGGCAAGATGGCGGGGGGACAACTAGCTTGTGAATTCTCCAGGGACTTAGGTGTAAGTTCGGAGCTGAGCAGCATGGCAGTGTCAGGACTTAGGCAGTTCTGTGAGTGCCCAGCAGCAGAAATTTAGGCACCATGGGGAATTTAGATGCCGACTGGGTTAGGCAGCAGCTGAGCAGTGGTGCCAGTGGCACCTAAACGTTGGAATTAGGTGCTAAAGTGGCAGTTAGACACCTAAGTCTCCCTTGTGAATCTAGCTCTTAAGAACTAATTCCTACAGACTTTGAAAGAATGTTAGGCACCTAAGTAACTTGGGTGCTCTTGAAAATTTTACCTCTCTATTAAAAATATGGCCTTATTGTTTCATGGTGCTACATAACTAGGGCTCTACCAAATTCATGGCCATGAAAAACACATCACAGATCACGAATGCTGGTCTCCCCCCTGTGAAATCTGGCCTTTTGTATGCTTTTACCCTATACTGTACAGATTTCACGGGGGAGACCAGCATTTCTCAAATTGGGGTTCCTGAGAAACCCCAATTGCCAACCTTACTGCTGTGCTGCCTTCAGAGCTGGGAGGTCGGAAGGCAGCGGCTGTTGGCTGGGCGCCCAACTGTGAAGGCAGCGCCCCGCCAGCAGCAGCGCAGAAGTAAGGGTGGCAATACCACACCATGACATCCTTACTTCTGCGCTGCTGCTGGTGGCGGCTCTGTCTTCAGAGCTGGGCTCCCGGCCAGCAGCCGCTGCTCTCCAGCTGCCCAGCTGTGAAGGCAGCGCTGCACCAGTAGCAGTGCAAAAGTAAGGGGAGCAGTAGTGTAACCCCCCTTCCCCCCACACAATAACCTTGCGACTCCCCCACAACTCCTTTTTGGGTCAGGACCCCTACAATTACAACACCATGAAATTTCAGATTTAAATAGCTGAAATCAGAAAATTTACTATTTTTAAAATCCTATGACCATGAAATTGACCAAAATGGACCATGAATTTGGTAGGGCCCTATACATAATCAGTATACATAAGTAAGGAAATACAAGAATACTTTCCATTACAGCTATTTCAGTATTTTATAGATCCTAGCTCAAATGACCCATCAAAGGAGAAATTAAAGCTAGGTGTAGGAGGAGGAATACTTTAGAATCTGTGTGTTCAACATTCACCAATCTGTTAGCTATGTCATTTACTATTAGGAGAAACTACTAGTATAGAGAAGCATAGGTGCTTTTCCCTCCTCTAGCCAACCACAGCTCCACAAAATTGGTTACTTACTATGATTTGAATTGATAGCCCAATTTAAAACCAAAAGTACCCTTGAAATTCAGTCAGAAAAGTGAAACTTTAAAATATCTGAACACTCAATCAGTCTGCTTTACTGTTCCATTAGAGCCATACCTGAATATTTTGTAGTTGGAGTAAAATACAGTCTCTGAAAGGTCAAATACCTACAAAGTAACAGAAATAAGATTTTGGGGAATTATGCCACTTTGACACACATGATTCTGACAAAGGAATATGATTGGCTAATCAGAAGGGTTCCAGTCCAGGAAATTAAGGGACGATAATTGCAGTGTGTGTTGAGCTTCTTCTCTTTACTATTTTTCCCCATTCAAAGCATCGATCATTTAATCTTTAATTTTTGTTCCCAAATTTTATGCAGAAAATTTTGACAGTCCTGTAATACAGAAATATAGACATACGATAAGCAAGAATAGTGATAAACTATGGGCTAAATTCTACTCTCATCTTCACTGATGTGACTCTACAGCGACTCTAATGATTTCAGTGGAGTAATTTTTGAATCACAGTGGTGTAAATGAGTACTTAGAAACACACACCAGTGATGCATTGCCCCAGGTTACTGGGAGTGTCTCATATGAACGCAATGAGACTAGATATTAGAGAGTTCCAATGAGCATTTCATAGTATGCTACAGTGCAGAATTGAGGTTGTTTGGGTCCCTTGACTCTGCATTTCTATACCTTAACGTGTTTGGATTTCTTTTTAAGTTTAAAGTCAACTATGAATTTCTTGGGTTTATAATAGACGGTTTGGGGATAATTGCAACATTTCTATCGTGTATTTTATCTTTAACCATTGATATGTCTTTTCAACCTAACTCCATTTTAACATAGTTTTCATCTGGAAATATAAATAATAAAACTGCTAATCATGGCCCCAGACTTTTCTAACCAATAACCCTAATATTCATGCTGCTTGCCCTTCTATGACAATTGGCAGTATGTGGAATATAATTACCAAAAGGGACCTGGATGGTGGAGTTTAACAGGAGCACTTGTTAAACTCGAGAAGCTGTTCAGTAAGTATTTGCAATGACAGTGCCAAGTCTCCTCCTTGCACATCAGGAAAATCTGTTTGTCTCTTGAGCTAAATAGTTTAGAGTTCCAAACCTAATTAAGGCATCAGAAATCCATCATTTTGGGCAATTCGGGAGAGGTAATGTCTCCCACAGTGCTCGTTGCTCTGAGTTCACCGCTTCTAACAACACAGCTTATTTTGAAGTGGTATTTCCAAATCAGAGAGAGCAGGCAACATCATTTTCTTTTGCTGGTCTCAGCGAGCGAAGTCCCCCATGTGACTTCAGGGCACAAGGTTGAACTTGTAACTTAATGGAGCTTGAGCTGTCCTTAAACCTCTGTCTTGTCTTGTAACGTAATGAGTCTGGGAGTTTACTTCAGCTCCTGTTATAAACAAGAGTAGGAAATCTGTTGAAGGTATTCTCACTTGTCATTGATCTGTGTAAATAAATAAATAGCAATAGATATATAGCACAGTTTGTTCACATTCCATCCATATTTTATTGTTAAAGAAACTTTCTCGTACAGATAGTGAGACAATAGATAGACAATGTTAGTGAAGTTGTTGGCTATCAACGCTCTAGTTGTTGGCCCTTTCCTTTTCAGAATCATCCCATCATGCTATACCACCTGCTCTTCCTGCCATTTGCATCATTCTTCTATGTATAAAGAAATGCCCAGTTATTGCTGTCCTGTCTCCAGACTTGGTTCTAGGGACCTGCAATCCATGTAACTGCACCATAATTCTGTGGGGGCTCCAGGGGAAACTGGGCTTTAAATGATGTGTAGTTTCTGTATTCTTGTGGAGCCCTCTTCCCCAGGTTACAAGGTGTTTCATATGACTTTGGGCTTGTCCTTCTTTAAAGAGTTTGACTTAGTGATGTAAACACACTGATTCAGTGCAACCAAATAAAGTAATACAGTAATTTGTGTCATTCATTCGTGTGTGTGGAATGAATGAATGACACAAATTACTGTATTACTTTATTTGGTTGCACTGAATCAGTGTGTTTACATCACTGTGTGTGTGTGTGTGTGTGTGTGTGTGTGTGTGTGTGTAGAGAGAGAGAGAGAGAGAGAGATTTTGTGTGTGTGTGTCATAAATACTACATATTTATCCAACCACATACACTGGTTCCTTTTTTTCCAATTCTACACTATTCAAGCAGCCTTGCCGCTCTATATATTGTAATCACTATCTCCTGATCAAACAAAAATATCTCCTCCTCTGCTTCCTCTCTACTTTATGCTTCTGTTATTCTGCTTTGTGTTCCTCCTACCTTGCTGACCAGTTCTTTAGCTTCTCATTTGCTACCATATCATCCTTTCTCACCTCCCATTCTTCTCCCCAGTGCATGCACCCACATTTGGCAAAATTCAGTGTTTGATCTACAGATAGGTCAGGGCCAGAAAGTTCTGATTTAGATTCCGATCTTAGCTCCACAGGCCCATCTCCGTTCTTTACTTGATCCACTCTACTCCTTTCATACTCTCTCTGGGTGATTTTATTGACTCCCATGGTTTTAACTGCCACTTATAAGCAGATGATTCCCAGATATTTAACCTTGAATTCTGCCTTCTTTCCAATCTCACATCTTCCACTGTGTCTCAGAAATCTCTTTTTGGATGCCCCCTGCTATCTCATAATCAGCCACTCCAAATCAAAACTATTACGTTTCTTCTCTGTGGGCTGGTCATGTTTTGTAATCCCCCCTTCTTTTATCCCTTCGCTAGCTTCCTGGCTTCTTACTACATCAAGTTCAAGCTTCTTGTTGCTTCCTTCAGCACCAGGTATAAACTCGCCCTACTTACTCTGCTCTTGCTTCCTCCTATTCACCTTCATGTTGCTCTCAGTTTTCTCCTTACTGCTCTATCTTCTCATTTCCTCTACTGCCCCTGGCATTTAAAACAGTCCCCAGCTCTCATTCATCAGGCGTCTGCACACTCATTCTTCAAAAATCTCCTTAAAAAAACATTTTTTATCAAATCTTTCCTACCTTGTTTTCCTACCTTGTTGCCCCATCCTCCTTTGCCCTCACAGTTGCCCCATTCCTGGTCTTATCTCTCTCAAAGGTTTCCAGGTCAGGAACCACAGCTCTATGGATTTTTTTAAAGTATCTTTGTAGTGCAATATAAATGATTAGTGATAATAAAAGGGGGTGAGGGTAGTTTGGCCACCAGGTCCATTCAACCCTTGGCTGCTCATCTGAGACTGTGAACAATAGTACCAATTAATGCTGATTACGGTGAGTTGTTGTGATCTGAACACCTGCCCTTTAGCAAAGAGCTGAAGAGCAGTGACTCATTTCATAAAGTTCACCCAAGTAAACGTCAGCTGGAAACACCTTTCAGTCACTATTGATCTGATTTGAATTCAAACTAGTGGCCTAAAGGTGAACAGCTTCATATTTCACAACTAGTTTCCCCCTAATATCCTGTTGTTCACATCAGTGTTCTTTGTTCCCCATACACCTGCAGCTGCAAAATAAACATTTGAAAATCATTTGTCTTTGATCCTCCTGAATTTTGCTCTCTCAATGAAATAGTGTTTGCACTAACAACACCAAATATCCTCAGAAGTAAAAAAACAAACCGTACTTTTACTCTGAATGGTGGCTGCAAAGATGACATTGCAGGGTTCCCATGTTTCTTGTCTAAATGACTCTATAGCAATTTAGTTCAGTTTGCAATTCAGAATATTCATTTTTTGTCAGCGCTGCAAACTCACACTGGGATCAGAAAACCCATCTGTGTTCTTATATCCTCACCACTGCTAAAGATTCTGTGTTCTGAACTCATGTATCCATTTTGTTGATGCTCTAGTAGGCAGAAAGGAATTTAGTTCATTCTCCCACAGCTGTATTGATTGTGCAGTGCTAATAGTAGTGAAAATTTGCCTGTCACTAAAAATAATTATTTAGGAGTAGAAAAAATGTTGAATATGTCCTTTTATACATAATTTTGATTTCTGATCTTAACCCCACCAGCCACTAAGATGTGAGTAAATTAAAAAGCAAAACAGATACACTATATCTTAATTCAAGTGAGTGGATTAATTATGATTAGGACTTGCACCTATGTCTTTCCAAATGTACTCAGGCACCGCTGAATGAATTATATTGACCTGCAATTTTCTTATCTGAAGACAGTGTGCGTGCATGTTTCTGATCAGACTTTTGTTTGTGAATGTAGTGCTCAGACAGGTGCTAGAGGCCATAATCTTCTCTTTATCCACTGAACAGATTGAGTGAGGAAGCTTGCACTATCTCCTTCCTCCTAGAGGGATCATTTCTATGGGTGCTTCAGTCCTCATGCCCCTTCAGTCCTCCAGACTGATACTACTAAATAGGGTGCTTAACTATGGCCAGTTGTGGTGGTGGATATTTTCTATCCATCTTAGATACCTATATGCCCCCCTTACCATAGCATCAGTGCACCTCAAAGTAGTTATTCTCCCAACATCCCTGTAAGGTAGGGAAGTAGTATTAGTCCCATTTTACAGATGGGGAACTGAAGGACAAAGAGACTGTGACTACCCAAGATCAAACAGGAAGTCTGTGTTGGAGCACAGAACTGAACTGGTGTCTTCTGTATTGCCCCAACCAGTGGACCAGGACTGACAATTTACCAAACTCGTTTCTTAACGGCTACTGAGGGCAGCAACTTTCTGACATTACTGACCTAGGCCAGATTTGAACTACCAGCCTAGGGTTTGTGACCTGTCCCATTCATAGAGTCATAGAATCCAAGCCCAGAAAAGACCATTGTGATGGTCTAGTCTGGCCTCCTGTGTAACATGTATCATAAAACTTTCCCAAAGGAATTCCTAGAGCGCATACCATGTTTTAAAAATTGTCAGTGATGGAGAATCCGCTATGACTCTTGGTAAATTGTTCCAGTGATTAATTACTCTCACTATTAAAAATGTATGCTTTATTTCCAGTCTGAATTTATCTAGTTTGAACTTCCAGTTGTTGGATTGTGTTATACTCTTTTCTGATAGATTGGAGAGCCCGTTATTAAATATTTGTTACCCATGTAGATACTTATTCCCCAAGTCATTGATTTCAATATTTCTGATATAATTTCAATCAAGCCTGTCTGGTTTATCTCCGGTACTGATGCGGTATTATGTCTACGTATATTGAAATTTGCAGAAAGTTCATTCATGGAACCGTGCTGCTTAGTATGGCATTGTACAGTGAGCCTCCAACAACCATGATAGCTCCGGGCATTTGTGACACTAGTCTGCCAGCGCTAGTAACACTGCAGGTAAGGATTGCTTTTCGAGAAAGCAAAGCAAGGACTTGTCATCAAATAACTTGCAGTAAATGATTGATTACATGGTTCTTCCTGATCCCACAGTTTAAAAGTCATAAGAGACTTCTGCTTGTATGCTATCAGCCTTTTTAATTGTGGGGGAGTAAAATTCTACATAACAGCAATTATACAATGACTCACTAAATCAGATACAGGCTGTGGGGGTTAGGCACTGAGTAGATTACTTTTTCTTCCATGTTCCTTGACACAAATTGCTGACCTGGTACCCTACTCACAGCTGCGTTTCTGTCCCACTTGTATCCAGTATACCACTGAATTACTTATCTTTATACGCATCGCAGGCAACTAACAATTAACTGAGTCTGCAGAAAGGTCTGTGGGGAAGGAGCTACAAAGTGCATTTGTATTTATACCATTCTTAATCCATGACCAAATGCCAGGCTGCCACTGATGTCACTGTGAGCTCTGCGTGTAGACCAAGGGCAGTATATGGCCTACAAATATTGAAAAGACATTTTGTCTGTCCCCAGTGTTGTCCTGTTCGCAGATTGAACTGATAATTTTAAAGGCACAACCAATTGCTTTTCATATTCAAAAACCAAATGATTGTTGTTAGCAAATGAACCACAAAGGCAAGTAATGTGAATAAATGAGGCTGGCCTAAAAATGTCCTATTTTTTAATAAGTAAGTGAACAAGAGTTTCTAGCTGGAATAATACAGTCAAAGACAGCTCCTTAAAATAGCTTTCTCTGTATTAATAATAAAAGGAAGGTGAGGCAGTAGAGGGCTACTAATTTAAAATCTGTCTCTCTGCTCTAAGAAACAGCAGAGAAGAATCTCCCACTCCCCTCCCATACTCAATTATGCCTGTAAATATGACAGTAGGAGACACTGAACATACAGGAAAAGCTGCCTTAAAAAAACAGCTCTTTTGATGTGACTGGGGTGTGCTATAATTCCCAGGAGTACTGTATTCTGAGAGTCCATTTATTAGTGGTGGTTTTTTGTTAATAGTTTGTGAGAATGAGGATGCACATATATATTGGTTAGAGAGACTGCTTTTCTGGTCCTGCTGTGAATGTCTCTTAATACATTAAGATGTAATTTCTATGATACGCAAATTGAACTGGATTAAAAAACTGAATTTTCATCTAACCCGCCACTCAAACCCAAAACACTTTTGAGCTTTGAAAAAGTTTGGTTAGCAGCTTTCCCCCCATTTTATTACATTAAATAATGAAACTGCACTTCCCAGACCGAGCTGGAAGTGAAAGTGATGAAAAATCATGAGAGGCTGTTCTTGAGCCCTTAACAGGCCAATCAGAAACAAGGAATTACCAGAAACAGCCTGCTCTACTGAATTTTCCAGCCTACTATTGCAAAACCAAGAACTTCAGATACATATCAAAACTTGGGGATGCTGTTGATTCAAATTGAATAGAACCTCCCCCCCAAAAAACCCATTTTTGAGTTTTTTTCCCCATAACTTGATGAAGCTAAAAATGGGCCTGTGCCAACCCCTGTCTCCTTCCCTCAAAATGAAGACCTCCCAACTCTGGGGAAATTAATATCCAGATCTGAACTTTGCAGCTTGGTCCCTGTCTCTTAGAATCCAAATCAATATGCAGACTCTGAACCCCTCCTCCCCCACACTATTCTGGAGAATTGCTGATCTGGACTGAAACTTTGCAGCTCAGGCCCATCTCTAGTTAAAAACAGGGAGGGAGAAGCCTTTAACCTGGAGTCCCATGCAGACCTAATGAGCTCAGATACACTGAGTAAAATCCTGCTCCCATTAAATTTAAAGGCAAAACTCTCATTGACTTAAATGGGGCCAGGATTGTCACCCAATAGTTCTGAGTAAAATTCATTCATACAATAAACGCCCCTTTGCAATTATTCTGTCTCCCTTTTCCCCCTTATTGTTCACATTTCCTCTACATATTTAGGACACGCAGATATCTGAGAAACCTTTTATACAAATTTATATGTAAGACATCTATTTTTTTTTTATAGGTTGACTTTCCAGAAACTAATTTGGAGTTTATTAAACCTGAGCCTGAAGAGAAAAGAGATGACCTTGAAGAGCCAGCTAAAGAGTGCTTGAAGCATGTAGCAAGACTTTCACAGAAACATTCTCTCTTGCTGTAAGTGCACCCAAGTCTTCCTGCTTACATCTGGCATGCTGTGCATAACGCCATCAATCACTCTTAAATGTGTTCAATTCTTGAAAAGCTAAATTTCCCATCTATATAGCCTGATTTCATTCATTTGATGAAGTAATACTTCTAGATGAGAGGAAAAGGTGGCAATGAAGCTAAAACAAGCCCCCTGAAGGTGAGAATGCTTTTCTATACCTTAGAACACTTTGTCTCTATTCTTTTATCTTTTCTGGTTTCCTTGGCACTAGACGCAAACTGCTGATTTGAAGCGCAAACATTTGTCTTGAGCTATATAATTTCCAATAATAATAGTATTAGCAATTTTAAAAATTGGGCTGGATAAAAACCAACACCAGTAAATAATAATGATAAACCCATACTATTAGGCCATCGTACTCACCAAGTGGCATACAAGCATTAGAAAGGAAATCTGTATCATGTTCCTCAGTAAACAAGGAAACAATTATGCAGAATTTAGCTTTCACAGCAGGCGTATAAAGAATAAGTAAAACAAAACATGTTGTATCATCTACTCAGGCAGATTGGTAACCCTAGACATATGTAGGTTATATTATCAAGTAGCATTATGTACTGTCTAAAATAACAATTATAGCGAGAACCACAGTGGGGTTAGTGGTATCAATGCTTGCATTATACAAGTCACTAATGCTTGTTCATTAATCCTTCACCACAGGCTAAAGATGTCATAGTAATGCAATAAATAAATATAAAGTCTCTTTTTAAACTTCCCAATAATGTTTTGTTATACACATGTAAAGGAGGAAGTTTTCTTTACTAATTTTATTCTGGGGGGGGAAATATATTTATTGAGTTATACATTTCTGTTGGCTACAATAAACTGCTAGTATATTTAATGTTACTGTCTTTTCTCATTTCTAAAGAGACAGGGTGTGATTTAAGTTTCTTTGCTTTCAATCACTGAGGGCTGTTAAGCAGGATTGGGGCTGGTCAGTACTTGGAGGAGAGTCTTTTAAGGAAAACATAGTTGCTGCGAGAAGTGACATTGGTGGTTCAGTAGGCAATCATTACTTCCAAGTTAGTACAGAACCAAAACTATTTCAGTATGGTGCTCAGGGTTGTCAACTTCTGGAGGGGACATTCTTTTGATCAGATTTATAAGTGAGATCATGAACACTCATGACGAGACACAATCAGGAGGGTCATTTTAAATGGTCCATTTCTCCCTCTCTCTCTTTCTTTGTTTTTTTTACGGTGGTTGTTGCAATCAGAGTAAGCCAGACCACGCTTAACTGCTTAATGTTGTAATAGTGAAGAAGGGTTGGTTAACGTCTTATCCCTTGTGGGGCCCAAGAAATCTCCTTTTCAACACAACAATCCTCGGATGCTATATATGTGCAAAGTATTATTGTCACCTAGACTGAACATCTTTTCAGACATAAACTTTTATTATGACAGATAAACCTAAAACCTTTATCCCGATCAAATCTTTAAAGTCAGCCATTAAACAAGACAGTAACCCAGCAAAACAAGATAGGAAAGAGAAGAGTGCCCTGTCACTGAAGAGGAATGGGGTAGATACAAGAAAACATTGGGCTTTTATCTAGCCATTTTTAAGCTTTAGCTGATTTAATCTGAACAGACTGTCATGTTCAGGAGATGCTGTTGGGAAACTAGAAAATCTCTTAAAGTCAACATGCAAGAGGTATCCTCTAATTGCACTGTCTCACTGAATGCTGTCGGAGGGTAAAGGAACACATGACAGACCATCAAAAAGCTAAAGCTTTATCTCCTCTGCAGTGTGTGGCGCGCACACTCCCTGCGCACAAACACAAGGATTGCTGGCTGCTATTATTGTGAGCACTCTGTGAATTGTTGAGCTACACTAAGGAGATCATGGATCATGCTGCCACTACTTGTAGCTGAAGCTTAAAATATATTTTGTTATAATAATTTGCTTAAAACTACTACTACTAAAAAATGACAGTAGGTAAAATGTCTCTTTCGCGGCCCATATCACTATAATATCTGAACATCTCACACAATTATGAATTTATTCTCCTCACACCCCTCTGAGGTAAGGAAAGCAAATTGTCTTTCCTCACAACACTAAACCCCATGTTTATTGTTTGTACTGCCATCACCTATTCCAAATGCCTGGCAAATTCAAAACTGATTGAAGGAAACCTTTTTTTACATAATGCACAATTAACCTAAGGAACTCATTGCCATGAGATATTACCAAAGCCAAAAACTTAGCAGGATTCAGAAAGGGATAAGCTATTTATTTGGCTAAGAAAAAGTTGTTCTAGCAAATCATGGGGGGAAGTGTTCAGAAATGCATGCAAGCATTCATGTTTCAGGGCTTGATTCAACTTCCAACTATTGGGAGTGAGTAGAAAATTTCCCTGAAGGCAGGTTATGCCATTACTATCTACAGCAGGGATTTTTGAACCTTCCTCTGATACCTTTGATGCTGGTTACTGTCCAAGACGGGATGCTGGACAAGATAGATGAAATCATGGGTCTGATCTAGTGTGGCACCTCCTATGTTCTTTCAGAGCCTTAGCGATATTTATAATGTTAATTACGAATGTTGTCTATTTGTAATGTATTGTACATTTTTAAGGCTTGTTTTTAGAGCTTGAATTTAAACGAGGATTGCCTGTTTACATTAGCAATTTTATCTTGATGAAGTTTTTGTTTGTTTGTGACGATACTGAACCCTAAGATTTAATGAGGCTATTTGTTTTATGGACCAAGAAAAGGCATATGAATTGTTGGCGCATTGAAGGGCATACGGTACACATTAACCTGGTGTTCTTTTCATTGGCTTACTGATTTTTGCAATATTGGGGGATGCCAAGGCATTTCATTAATAGGACATTTGCCCCTCTCTGTGAGGTAGGTGGCACTACACCCATTCTGCAGATGAGTAAAATGATGCACAGCAGGCCAGACTGGTTCCTTGATAGAGGCTTGGAAAGTGAAAGGAGCTTTCTTCCTACCTTTCCTCTTTGCACACCCTGTGCAAGGACCAAGAACAATTGTGTGTGTGTGTGTGTGTGTGTGTGTGTGTGAGAGAGAGAGAGAGTAAAAAGGCCACTTGTTTTCTAAGTCTCATATCCTAGAATGTATATGAATGTTCTCACCTGAGTTGATCAGTGGTGGGGAGCGGGGGAGTGAAAGTTGACTAGCTGTGTTATAATCAGTAGTTGTCACCACAGTTAATTAGAGATGCTATAGACTAGGCAGTGGATATGACAGTAATTTCTCTGGCCAAAACTGCACACACTGAAAAACAACTGTAGAGAAAAAGAGAGAGAGAGCACGCAAGCTTGGCAAAGTGAAATATCTGTATGTGCATCTCTTTTGAGAGTTCATCTTTATATGTCCCAAGGCTGACAGATGCAGATTATAAATATCACTTCTTCTTAAGAGCTGATGCACAGAAAATGATATCCCATCCCAAGGAGAACAAGTAGCTAGAAAGCAGTGCCCGCTCTTTACAATAGTTTGCTGCTACACAGGGCTCTGGGTGGTTTTAATTTCAAACTGAATTTCTAATCTTCTCTTCCAGGTTGTTGGAGCAAGAGAGAAGATTTTTATGGTTTTATCGTTCCTACTGCAATAATGAAAACTGTTCCCTTTCTTTGGTACTGGGCAGTGCCCCCAGTTGGGATCGAAAGAGCATATCAGAAATGTACATGGTGTTGAGGGAATGGAGCTTTTCTAACCCTTTGGAGGCACTTGGGCTTCTGACTTTCAGGTAAGAGAAAATTAACAAAGTCAGAAAATAAGAATAAACAGACTCCTAGTCTGCTGATTGATTCAGCACTTTGAGTTGCTCAGTATAATACCAAGCTTTGGTTCATTGACTGTCTGCTTTCAGCTTTGCCTCTGTATCAAAATGAAGATGTAATTGGAACTCTTGAGTTGACCTTCAGTTGAATGCGCTGGCCCTGCCTTCTTGGCTGAGAAGTTCGCTATTTTCCAGGATAATGAAAAGCATATTTCATTCTATATGATGGATTCATTCAGTTTCTAGTAACAGGTGATCAGTCAGATAATTAGCACTTATACAGCACTTTGCATCTTAACACTGCTGTACAGACATAAAGTGAGTAATGGAGATGGGGCTGAACCATGTTCCTAGATAAGGGGTGGGCAAACTACGGCCTTAGGGCCACATCTGGCCCTTCAGACATTTTAATCCAGCCCTTGAGCTCCCACCAGGGAGCAGGGTCCAGGGCTTGCCCCGCTCCAGCCATGGAGTGGGGTCGGGGTCTTGTCCCGCTCTGCACGTGCTGTGGCTCTGCACGGCTCTGGAACCACTGCCAATGGGAGCTGCAGGAGCGGTGCCTACAGACAGGGCAGCGCGCAGAGCCACCTGGCTACCCCTCTGTGTAAGAGCCGGAGGGGGGACATGCCTCTGCTTCCAGGAGCTGCTTGAGGCAAGCGCCACCTGCACCGCCTGATCCCCCTCCCGCCCTCCCAACCCCTCAGTCGCAGCCCGGAGCACCCTCCGGCACCCCCCCCAGCCCCAGCCCCACTCCAGAGCCCGCACCCCAGCCGGAGCCCTCACACCCCCCCCCCGCACCCCAACCCCCAATTTCATGAGCATTCATGGCCTGCCATACAATTTCCATACCAGATGTAGCCCTCGGGCCAAAACGTTTGCCCACCCCTGTCCTAGATCAAGATGCTACCTCAAAGTGTACCTCTAGAACTGACCTTTGCCACTGGCCCCTCTTTCCGTAATAGAAATATCACAAACTTTGGGGCAATTGAGAACTGGCTTCTAATGTTGCACTCTTATTGACTTTCAGTGAGAGCTGGATGCCTTTTGTGCAACAGAAAGTGTCTCTGCTGTTGAGGGTATCTTTTAACCTGTGACATACATAATCTCCAACGAAAAGAACCTGTGTCAGCAAATGTATTTTCTCAAGTTATTTTGGGGGAGGGGGTTGTTTTAAAGAAATCTGCATGTGAAAATGTCACACAATTGGACAAAATGAGGGTGCAAATGATGCATTGTCAAGACCTTGCTTGTCTGGGTGTTGAGCTTTCTATGATTAAACCTGCAAATCCTGCTTTGCAAACTGACTTACTAGCTATAAACCATGTCTTTAGAAAAGAAATTAAAAGGAGAGGTTTTGGAGACTTCACCTAATCCCTTTGCCCAGTGAGTAAGGACTTCATACCCTCATTACTCATTTACAAAAACAGATACTTAAATATATATATTTAAAAATAACCACAGATGATCATTGCCTTCCAGCATTATTCTTATCCCCCCCCTTTCTCTGGTTTAGGTTTGAATCCAAAGTATTAAGCTTCTCCACATACATACGAACATCTCCTATGGAAATTTAATGGGAGTTCTGCATGCAAAGATCTTGAAGGATTAGGTCCTTAGTGCATGGAAAGCCTTTTGGAACATTTTTGATTGTGCTCAGGCAGTGTATGTGTGCATACCATGTTTGCCATCATTGCAATATTTTTGTGCTTTCATGACTTACCAGAGCACCCTTTTATTTCATGTTGGAACAAATACAATGACAAGCACCACATTGATGTTCTCTCTCCAGACTGGCAAAAGTCTTAATGGTGATTTCAGGGACACGCCAAGCTTCAAAAACAGAACCTGTTAACTAGTTCTGGCTACACTTACAGCTGGCATTTCTGGAGACAAAGGGCTCAATTCTTCCTTGAAGCTCCAGCTCTGCATTGGGTGTGGTATGCAGTTTTATAGCTCCATCAGATGCTCCAGTTGCCTGGTGACTCACATTGCCTGAAAGCCTTTCACAGAGCACAGTTGCTATGCCACACTTTTATGATATGTCTTCACTGCAGTCCTGATGTGTGGTTGCAGCAAATATAGGCACACCCGAGCTAACTTTGATCTAGCTAGATGAAAGCTAGCTTGAGTAACAATAATATGTTAGCTGTTGCAGCACAGTTGGCAGTACAGTCTATCCTCCTGAGTACAATCCCACCCAGAACCCTGGGTACCTACTCGACCATGTCATAGCCACTGCTGCTGTGACTACATTATTGTGGTGACTCAAGCTAGCTTTTGTACAGCTAGATCAAAACTAGTCCAAGTATTCCTACAGGAGCCACAATCGCACCTTCCAACTGCGGCACACCCTTACAAGGTGCAATGTACACGCCACTCTGAGTCTGTCCCGTTCTGCAGGTTGGCATGGAAGGGTGGGCTGAGGTCATAACTCGGACTCCTCCAATGCAGCCTGTGGAATGGCTGGCCAAGAGTAAATACTTGTGCTTGGGATTTGAGGGGGAAGGTTCCCCTAATTACAACCTTCACAGGAGACGTGCGCACTCTGGTTTATATTTTACAAACATGTTAACAAAAGAGACCGGGGATCTCAATAGAAGTCTTCTTTTCTTTAAATATTCTGACTTTAAATATTTAATGTCCCTAGCATGTTACATGTGTGTTTAAGACCAACTGGGAAGCTGTCTTTGGGGATTAAATGTCCATTTTAAAAGGACTAGTTTCAGAGATGGCTGAACTGCTGGAGGAAGGGGTAGGGGTTCAGCTGGCTGGGATTGTGGTGTCTTGTTTTTAACCTATTAAATAATTATCAGTTAAGTAGCAGCAGTGGCTGTATTGCTAACTTAGTTTCACATTCCCACTCTGATCTTCAATCAGTTTGGACTGTAGGTGCATTGACTAAGCTGTTTGTGAAGGCTTGCTCTACTCTGGTCTGCATTATGCTTGGCTCTGGCAGTTTTTACCCTCTGCTCCTGATTTCTCAGAGCAACAAAATGTCCTCCTAATTTCTTTTGACTAGAGATTAAACTACAAAAGGATGTCATATGCAAACAAAAGATGAGGTATGTGTAACAGAAATGCTTCTTATCTCAGCGTGTGTTTTCTCATGTGATCCAATAAGTATTCTCCATTTAATTAAAAAGTTGTTTCATGAGGACTGGAAAGCTCAGGGCTTGATAATGGGATCTTTGATCTCTGGGTTGCTAGTTCAAATGTAGTCCAATGTGATGTTAACCAGAAGTCATTACCATCTGATGATTGTTCAGTGGCTTGTGTACATGAAATGAGTTGGCTGGTCTCTGCCTGGATAAATTTCTACATCACAGAAGTGCCACAGCACCTGTCACTATTTGTTATGTTTATTCTCAGTTTCATCCAAGAAACTATGGGTCAAGATTTTCAGAAGTGACTGGTAATTTTGGGTGCTTCGGTTTTTGGTTGCTGTAGTTTTGGGGTGCTCAATTTGAGACATCTTAAGGGACCTGATTTTTGTGAGGGTGGGTGCTCAGCACTTTCTGAAACACAGGCTGGGTACCCAAAAATCTCTAGTCACTTTTGAAAGCCTTGGGCTAAAGAGACTAAATTACCTGTAGGGCATGGCCTTCTCAGAGCAAGATAAAAGGACGTTTCCTGAGCACTAAGCTCACTTTTGCAAAGGGGAAGAGGAAGGAAGAGAAGTCACAGAGACAACATCCAATTGTCTTGATCGCAAGAAGTCAGTACATCCCATGTGATTTAGTGAGAGTTGCAGATGCTCTGTGCCACTCAGGATCAAGCCCCAATGTTCAGAGCACATAGTGCAGCTCTCTGCAATATGGTGTAACTTTAAAATTAGCTGCTCACAAGCCAGTTAAGTGTATGTTTTAATAGATGCATCTCGTTCTTCTGGCACGCCTCTCCCTTTGCTGACTATCTTCTCTACTTTACGAGCACGACTCCAGACAGACTAATAATAAGCTAGTCATTTTTGCACTAGAAAAGGAGAACTTTCATAAACTGGAAACATATTCATGCTACGTTTCACAGATAAATTTAGTAGCAGTCTTGCATCCAATACATGCATCAAGCATGGATTCTTAGGGCCTCCCAGGAGCCAGTCCTTAAAAACCAATTTAAAAAACATTGAAGAGCTCTTTAATGAAGGAAGGAGGGTAGAGAGCAGAATAAGATTTTACGCTCTTAGTTTTACCTCTAATTTCAGGGAAGGTTGATTACAAACTACAGTCTGAAAAATATAATTTTTTCCCAAGGCAATGGGTAGAAAGCTGGTCCCTCCTCCCCTGCACTGCTTGCTGCTGTCCTATGCATTTCCACCTCCATTTTCATCATTGGCTTCCCTTACTTACCTTCCTTGGGAGAAAGCCGAGATTTTAGTTGAACTCTAAGTTCTCTGCATGGCACACCACAGTCAGGGAAATGATACAGGCACAGTTATTGTGATAATGAAGAAAAGCCAAATGCAGTGTTATAAATGCCATCATATACATGGCGGGCACACTTATACGCTATATACATGTAGGGCAGGTGCACCTAAACATTGTCAGGTTATTTTGCTTTTCAGATTACATAATGTGTTCTTCTGTATTTTGTATATATGAACACATTAGCTAACCTGAAAAAGAAAATAACTAGATAACAATTTTGAGTGTACATGAAATATCAGAGCTTCACAGCACCCAGCAACAGCTCCCCACAGAAGACCTATAGTACCAACCTGCTTTTTACCACATACCTGCAATGCAATTCCAGCCATGTGATGTATTGCAGCTAGGCAGCCCCGATACTCACCTAAAATTAAAAAATAACATACATACCAAATTCTCCAGCACAGTCCAAGCTTTGTGCCAGCACTGGAGAGTTGACATTTGTTGACAAGGGTTCAGTGGGGTGGAGAGAGAAAGTAGATGGTATAAGAGAGAGATTTTCCTGCCAAACTATGGGCTGCACAACTGCAAGGACCTAAGGAC